AACTATATATAAGCTGGAAGCTGGAATGTGCAAGAATCCTTTTTTTTCTACCCCGGAAAGAAAGAAAGGGAAAAGCAGTATGAATATGGTACCTCGTACAGGAGATGATGGGACATTATGGGTATTTAAGATGAGGACGCTGATTTGGAAGTTTAGTATTGTTGTAACAACAAAGCTTGTAACTGTTCTGGTTGTTGTTGAGAAGCAGGCTTTCAGAGGTAGGTGAAGCTTGGAAATTGGAATAAAACTAGCGGCACACACGGAATTGTGTGGCATCTGCAGCATTTTGACAGAGACCAAATGAAGAAAATGTGTGCAACCAACAATTTTCTTCCATTTGGAGAGACTACCATTTGAAGTTATGAGCAAAAATCAAAACTGGGGGCCATTGCAAGCAATACAAGAAGATAATTACATTCAAACAAGTTTTTCTATCAGTACACACTCTAGCAGACCAAGAATTAAAAGTCATGTTGATCACAGTTTATACAGCAACTCAAGAATGGATAAGGTTTCAAGAAGGAAGTTAAGAAATCATGTTAATATAGTCAAATCAGTGGCTGGAACGGCACACGCTGGACTTTTCAGATTTCAGTATCAAAAAGACGGATTGTCACCTCGGATACCATTCTTCGAGCAAATGGGATGTAGCTCAAACTGTACCTGAAATGGTTGCAACCATGTCCAGAAGAAGTCAAGTGGAAAAGGCAAATACAATTGCAGTTATAACCATCTTAATTCTTAAGTACACAAGCAAAATATACAACCTATAACAATGTGTTGCTGGTATCTAACTTGACATCTTTAAGTGGGTTTTGGACAATAAAATGAAAGCATGGGCCATAAGCTTTTGGGTTTGATAACCTCTCGGATCAATTCCTAATCCCAACCACATAAAAACCCACTAAATTCCTAACCACGATCCATTGTCAACCCACAACATGTCCAAAAGTTTGAAAATATTGAAATTTAACTGGTCCTTCATTTGTTAGTTTTCAAAGTGAATTGAACGCAAAGTAATACCACTCTCCTGGAGGGCAAACAATGGAAAGCATGCAAAAAGATGGCAACAATATCAGATTTGAAACGAAAACTTACCAGAAAAGAGCAAAAACCTCACATATGATTGCAATGATTGTTAAAATCTTACTGTGGATCTGCAAAAATTAGAACCCAAACCAAAAAAAGAAGAAAGAGAGCAGCCGGCTTAGAAAAGGAGCATCTACCTCAATGATATTAAAGAACATCATTAAATAACTGAGAATACTTGGTATATTTGAAGCTCTGAAAAATGACAAGAAATAAACATAGCACATTCCGATAGTTTAGTTACCCCATCAATTTAAGAATATACTGTCACAATGCAGCTAAAACTGCTATACAGAATTTCAGTAGATGAGGAAAATAATAATTCAGTAGAGCAGTAGAGCTTAGGGTATGATAAGATCCAGAAGTTCAGTAACTGAGAGATTGCACTATATACACGTTATTAAAACATAGCATCGAAGTTTTAATCAACATCAACATGCTCAGCATATTCCCAACAAAATTGGTTAATACAGCACGGAAATGGTTACAGAATTCATTTGAGCTACTGAAGGATTATTGTCTTTCAGAACTAACCCTGACTAAATCAATATCCAAAAACTACCAGAAAAATTATTGCTGATGTCCTTGAAAAAATCACAAAAGAACTGAAATGTGAAAGTCAGTCAATGTCACCCACTTACCACAAGAGCAAAGATAAGAGCGAGAACGACACATCCAACATATATTGCTGTAGCATAAATGCGGACATCATCAAGCATCATCCTTATTTGCTGCCCAGGTCCGATGAGGAAGGCTGTACTGCCAATATAGGTCCAAATTCACAACTTTCAGGAAAAACTAACAAGAAAGAATGAGGCAATGTCACATTTCAAATATTACTTCAGTCAGTTCATGTTGTATCTTTACCACCCAATTTTCATTTATAAGTTCTAATAAATAAACAATACGTTAGCTGGACCCTACCTGCCTACAGCCAAAACGTTGCCAAATGTGAATAGCATAGCGAATTTGATGGGTATGACAAAAACAATCATAGACTGCAAAGAAGCATCAGAATAATAATGCATCAGAGGAACATTAAGAGTTAAAGAAGAAAAAAGAGCTGAGAGTTATCCAATAAAGCTTGACCCAGTGATAATCTAATTCCAGATCTAGTGCAAGTGCAATTACCCTATTTTTTCATCTTTCAAGTTTCAGTGATAGTTTATTCCCAAAGTATTAAAGCAACTGTAATAACAACGGGGCAAATATGAAAATTTGCACCACTAATGTTGTTTTAGAACCGTAATAAAGGGAAAATTCAACAAATGACAAGAAAAGGCCTCAATTTGTATATCAAAACACTGTCCCTCAGGGTTTATTTGTCAAATAATTCAAGCAAGAGATGAAGAAATAATTTCCTTATGAGAAAATGAGGTTAGCTAAAACGGCGATGCTAGGTAGCACTGCCGCTATAAGGAACAATTTTGCTGAACTTTTTCAAGGACGATTATATATACTTTAAGGAGCAAGTAGGCCGAATTTTCCCATTACAGACCTCCAGTGTATTCCAAGTCTCTAGCCAAATCCATTCATAATTTTTTTTTTTTTTTTTTTGAAGCTGAAACCTAAAAAGAAACCTGAAGTTTCTGTTCTTCCTTTTCCCTAACTAAGGCTTATACTACAACAATGGCTATGCAGATCAGTAAACCTGTTATTTATGATCTTTCCCAGGCAATAAAATCACTGCAGAATATTAATGAAAATGCTAAAGTATCAGCTCAACACGCTGCCTCTGGTAGAAGATTACAAGTCTGAAGCAAAATGCTAAAACCAGGTCAAAAGGCAATTTCCACCATTAGCAATTTGGCCAATTCCTTCCCCAATATGAAGAATCCATACATTCACTTCTAAAGCATCAAAACGGGTAAAGGGCTATGATAAATACTCCTAGTTAAATGCAATTAAAGTATTAGCAATTAATCACACGGCCGTACCAGCAATGTACAGAGCAAGCCAGCAAGCAAACAGGCGGCAAACCCATAGACTCTCTGTTTGTGCACAGAAAACACGAAAACTTCAAAATTTCAATAAACTTTTGCAGTTTTAGGAATATGAGATACCAGTAATTGATGAGGGAAAACGGTGAAACTACCTGGGTTGGGGAGAGTGAACAAAGGCCTTCGGTTTCATCCAATAGGGAGTCATCTTGCTGCTCCTGGTCATCATCTCCGCCCAGTATAGATTGGGTCAGCTTCCGCATTATTGGATTTGGATCCCCGTCAGTGTGTGGGCTGATGCTGATGCTGATGGTGATTGATGAGAGATGAGCCAGGTTTTGGATTTTGGAGTGTCTGCTCTCAAAAGTGTTTTAGAATCAAAAGGATTTTATAGGGTTATTATTAATTAATTAATTTCACGGTTACAATAATCTGTCTCAGTTTTTTCTTGAAGGCAAATAGAACTAGATTATTCATTCATTTGTTCATTCACATGATTTACAGCATCTTCAAGTACATCATCTTTGGGAAAATCTTATTATTATATTACTACTACTACATGCGAAAGTAATGCTTAAATCACAAAAAATTATGGGCTTCGTTAAAAGAAGAATACTACGAAATGCAGTTGAATGGAATTGTATACTTGCATCTAAGGGAGGCAATTACAATTTTTTTGTTAAACATTGTCAATCAAATGAATGGCAATATATATATATATATATATATATATATATATATATTAAAACTTGAGTTTTGGTTAAAAAGTGTTTGGAATTTTAAGCCTAACACATTCTAATGGCACTCCTATGAAGCAATACTCTTCTGCAGTCTAAAATAATACAACAGGTAGGATCTAAAATAATTTAATAAGCTAGCATTTATTTTGGAACCGCATGAATATTGTAATTCATAACGTGAAAATATTGGTACAAAAAAATCCATGGAAAATTTGACTTAAACATAATGAAAAAACGGACAACCATTTAACAGGCACATAAAATTGGACATATATATACTAGTGATGTCTGGTCGCGCAATGCGCGACTCTGGCCCAGTCTATCTGTAAATCTTAGAAATGTTTATATTTGAAAAAAAATAAAATTTTGTATTTGGAGCGATATATTTTAGAAATGTTTTATAAGTGTGATCATAGAAATAATTGTATTTCACAAAAAAAAAAAAGAAATTGTATTTCGCCATGTAAGTTATAGAAATATTTTATAAGTGTTACTTATTAAATACAAATAGCCTTAATCGAATATATGTATTGAAGTAAATGTTAGATAAAATATAAAAGTATCCTAATAAATTTAAATATTAGTAATATGATTTATTGATATTCGGTCGTGCCAAATCAATATTTAGTTTTGGAGATTTTTAATAGCTTTGTAATGAGCTTCATCGCAGGGTATACACTTAAAACAAAATTGACACTTTGTAACAAAAACCTAATTGATCAATTTAACTTAAAAAACCACTCTAAATGAATGAAACATAAAGAAATTTTTTTTTAAAAAAAAAACGTGTCACGTAAAGTGCAAAAGGAGATTTAGTAATTTAGTTATGGTTTAGACAAAAGGGCAATTTAGTACTTTCTATATGCCACGTGGCAATCATATGAGGTGTTTGAAAGGAAGGTTTTTGTTTCTAATATAGTAGGATATATATATATATATACTATTTTTTAATAATTAATTTTAATGTCAAGTATAAAATATTTGGCAGTACAAAATATCTATGTTTTATATGATTAATTAATTAAAAAAAAGGAAACAAAATTTCCAGTAATAAAAACATCATAATACAAATCTATTTAACTTCTTGAAGTTATTGACCGCCATTAGACCAAAGCCTAAAACCCCCGCCTTTTATTCTGTGTTGCGGATTCTGGAGTCTTCAAATAAGTCACCGGCGAGCGAAACCCTAGGTCATTGAATTATCCGTGGAAAGGCGGAGAGGAGGACGAAAATGTCGTCGACGCTACTCGAGGTGACGCGTGCCTCGCACGAGGAGGTCGAGCGGCTGGAGAGACTCATCGTCAAGGATCTACAGTCGGAACCTCCCACCGCCAGAGACCGCCTCTACCATAACCACCGCGTCCGTCACATGATCGACCAAATCACGGAGACCACTCATAAGCTGGTATTCTTCCTGTTTCACGCATTGTTTTCCTTAATTGGGGATTTTGTACTGATTTGTGTTAAGAAACTGACCTAAATTGTGTTTCTACGCTTTCGCTCTTGCGCTTGTCGCAGATTGAGATTTACGAAGATAAAGACAGTGCGAGGAAGGATGAGATTGCTGCTCTTGGAGGACAGACTGCCGCAGGAACTAATGTATTCAGTGCATTCTATGATAGATTAAAAGAGGTGAATACTTTTGTCCATTTAGTTTGTCTTTGAAACAACTTGCTTTGTTCACTGTGCATATTTTCCCTTCCTTCCCTATCATTTGAGTTTTAATGCCATGAGGCTTTTTTCAAACCTTGATTTGATAGGTAACATGATTTACCGTGCCTACTCCAGAACATCTGTAGGCTATGTCGTTTTTTATATTCATTGCTTCGTTTGGTTCATTGTTTAAGTTCATTACCCATGTTTGCTTTTCTTCCTGATTTGGCAACTGTAGGGATTGATTAGGTAGAAAAAAGCTCATTCAAATATAAGAGCAGTTTTTATTATATTAAAGCATCTAGTTGATTCTTGATTTAGTATTTTGGAATGAAAAACTTTGACTGTAATTGTGTGTGCATTGTCTCTTTCCAATTGTAGATTCGTGAGTATCATCGACGGCATCCTGCTGCACGTGTGGTTGATGTGAATGAGGAGCATGAACAGCTACTTAAGGAGGAACCACAAGTTGAATTTAGTGGAGAGGTTAGGTTCTCTTCTACTTCTATATTTTTCAGAAATTTTCTCAGCTGTTTTCGAAATGTGCTTTCATATATGCCTCGGCATCAATCTTTTTGTAGAGCGAGTGGATTGAGCAGGTGATGAGATCTCTACTGTTCTATAGTATTTGATTCATTCTTATGTTTGTTTGTTTTTGTTTGCAGGAGGCCATGGGGCGATACCTTGATTTGCATGAGTTGTACAATGATTATATTAATTCAAAATTTGGAGAGCCCATGGAATACATCGCTTATCTTGATGTTTTTTCTAAACCACATAAAATTACGCGCAGGCTCAAGTTTATGAGGTACTTTGTATGTTTCACTGTTTCGTTTGTATTCTTGTAGTAAATGTATCTTCTACCTTGGCTGGTATGCATCTCCTGTGACCAATTCTCAGAATGTATTTTGAGCGAAAATAGTTTCTGTAGCTTTGCATTTAATTTCTTTTTTTGTCTCAGCTCTGCTGAAATGACTACTAGAATTTATTATTGAAAATAAGGGAGATAGACATATATACATATGGTGCAATCAACTTGCTTCTGGGTTTAAAAAGTATATATATTTTGCTAATCAGGCAGTACTAGGCTGGTTTTAAGTTTGTCATTATTCTGCTTTAGTGCTCACGGGGTGGACAAAGTAGTAACTAGTCATTTATTGTTGGAGGCTATACTGGTTCAATCATTTTCTCGTCTGTAGATGGAATACTTTTTTTGGAGTTCATTTTGACCTTTTTGATTAAAATTAGAATTAGTATAAATATACTTGTGATGATTTCAGTTGCACAAAGAATCTTGGAGGTGAGATAAAAGTTCTATTTGATGAAAGCAAACCAAATGGATAAACTGTTAATTTAATCCTCTGAATATTTTTTCTGTAACTTTTAGTTGTGGGTTTTTGCCTCCTCCTGTTTACTGCTTTTTTTTTCTTTTTTTCTTTTTAAAAAATAATTTCTTGTCTGGAATATGTATCTGCCTACATTAAATTGAACTAATTTGTGAAACTCAGCTTTTCATGTTAGATTCATAATTTTATAACCTTGTTTAATTGTGATTGGTGTATTTTTTTTTGATCTTTTATTAGGCAATACCGGGAATATCTGCAGAAACTTTTGGAGTATTTGGTTTATTTTATTGAGAGAACGCAGCCTCTGAAAGATATTGACAGAATGTTCTCAAAGGTGCTCTCTCTCTCTCTCTCTCTCTCTGACACACACACACACACACCTACACACACATTTATACATGTATGTATGGCTGTATGCTGCACACTTATATCTTTATCTTTTTAATGGAGAAGATAGTATGCACTATGTATCAGAGGATCTTTGCATACTTGGTTTGATCCTTGAAACTGAATATTGGGGTAACTGTCTCCCCTTCTTCTCCAACTGGCACTTTCTAGTTTCTACCCTATTATAGTGGACACGGGCGATCATGTCTCATTTAGTATCTTGTAAAGGGCAAACATGTTAATCTATAAGGTAATGTTGGTTGGATAATTCGGCTAGAAACTAGACATGAAACTTAGTTTACTCAAGTTTCTGGCATAAGTTGATCAATCTCTCATTTGCTTCTTGAAGAATAGAGTTTTCCCGAATCTGCTTTTTCATGATTTTTTTTTTTTTTTTGGTGTAGATTACTGCAGAATTTGAAGAGGAATGGGCAAATGGCAGGGTAGAAGGCTGGGTGAATGGAACTCAAGAAAATGGTCATACTACAGCTGAGCATACTGTGATTGATCTGGATTATTACTCCACTGTTGAAGAGCTGATGGAAGTCGGACCTGAAAAGTTGAAGGAGGTACCGAATTACTGTAGCCAGGCTCTTTACTTTGATTACAAATCTGGGGTTTGGATAATGCATTTTTGCTCTAAAATATTTCTTTTTCATATCCGTAAACTCAGGTTAAGTTTGAGACTCTTAAACTAAAATATTTTAAGCTGTGGGTCAATGACTTGCTGTCAGCGTTGTTGCCGACTTATATGAGCATGATAAGATTACATTTTTTAAACTTTGGATGACCCGTTGATTATGAAATGTGTGCCTATGGACAAAAAAGATTTTACTCTTCTTTTTAATGCGCAAGTTTTGATAAAATGTTTTAAAAGCGTTTCAACTGACTGTGATGTTAACTTTCTGTAGGGTTTGGCTGCACTGGGTCTAAAGACCGGAGGTACAGTTCAGCAGCGGGCAGAGAGGCTTTTCCTGACTAAGGTATGGATTGACCGATCCTTTCCGTGTTTTGTTTGTTACTGTGATTTGTATTTAAAGCAATTGAAGCATCATCGACCTTTTCTCGGTTTATGTTGTGTTCTGCTCTTGTATCTGTTTGAATGTTGAATACAATTAGGGTGCCACTGCAAGTTGCTTGAATTGTGTTACTGCTCAATATGAATCATTGTTAGCATTTATTGAATATGATATCCTTCAGTGCATCTCATTCTTTGCTTTTTAGCTTCACCATTATGTCTGAACCTCAGTGTTTAACCTTTTATGGAATTCTTTGCCATTGTTCTGTTGTTTTGGGATTTCTAGATTCTTAGTTGAATGATATATTGCTCTACACCAAATTTTCCAGCATACACCTCTTGAGAAGCTGGACACTGTTTAACCTTTTATGAATTCTTTGCCATTGCTCTGTTGTTTTGGGAATTCTGGATTCTTAGTTGAATGATGTCTTGCTCTTACCAAATTTTCCAGCATACACCTCTTGAGAAGCTGGACAAGAAACATTTTGCAAAAGGTCATCGTACATCCGAACAGAATGGTTCTGTTCCTGCTCCACAGCTGGGTGAAGATGCGAAAGAGGTGGCACTGATGGAAGCTAAAGTAGAAAAGCTTTGTGACTCGTTGGACGACGTAAGTTGGATATTTTCTGTTCACTGCGTTGTGTTTTCTTGTCCAAGTTGTTTCTTTGCAATGATGCACCTTTTCAATTTGTTAGTAGTGTTCAAAATGATGCCGGACTCCTGTGATTGTTAGTATTATCCTTTTTGTTTTGATTTGATGCAGATAATTACACGGACAAAAGAAAATGTTGAGAAAAAGCAAGCTTTGACTTATGAGGAAATAGAAGCAGAACGCAAAGAGGTAATTCTTTAATTCTTTAAGACCTTGTGAGTATATTTGGGTTATCTTTAGAAATCATTATTCAATTTAGAGAGGTTCTTTGAGCTGTTCTTGTTAATTATGCCGACTTACTGCAATTTTACCATTAAGTGCTTAATTGTTGTATATCAACACTATTGAGATAACCAGTGTTTTCCCCCACTCGCTCTAAGACTTGTTTTGGAATTTTTTTTACAGGAAGATGTACAACCAGAATCTGAAAGTGACGACGAGGATCAACAAATATATAATCCCCTTAAGTTGCCTATGGGATGGGATGGAAAACCTATTCCATACTGGTTATATAAGCTTCATGGGTTGGGTCAGGTATATCGAAAATATCCATCCCTCTTTCATTCTTCAAATGGTGCTGAATGTTGATAACACTTTTGCTTTGAAAATTAGTGTTTTTACCTAGATTGGCATTCTATTTTCTACCTTGTATGTCAGACTTGAAAGGTGGCATTCTGCTTTTAAGTGTACCCTTGTAAAAACCTTATGACAAGTTCTGAATTCTTTGGCAGGAATTTAAATGTGAGATTTGCGGAAATTACAGTTACTGGGGTCGGAGGGCATATGAAAGACACTTCAAGGAATGGAGACATCAGCATGGGATGAGATGCCTTGGTATTCCAAATACAAAAAATTTCAATGAGATCACATCAATTGAGGTAGGCACTTTTAGTTACCCATTTACAGTAATCTCATATCTTGAATCAGAGTCGGTAAGTGAATCATATCTGCCTGCATGCTGTTTGAGTTATCGAGATAGGAAAAATACATATTGTAGTGCGATTAATGTGAATTTTGTGTCCTCTGATTCAACCTGTGGGATGGAGCATTTGTTTGAGGCTTTGATAAATAGAAATTTTGTATTATCCTCTGATTTATCTTCTTGTGGCATGGGACACTTGTTTGATGAGCAGGAAGCTAAGCAACTTTGGGAGAGAATTCAGGAACGACAGGGATTAAACAAGTGGCGCCCTGACCTTGAAGAAGAGTACGAAGATCAAGAGGGTAACATTTACAACAAAAAGACTTACACTGATCTGCAACGCCAAGGTCTTATTTAGAAAGAGAACAACCCAGGTTTAGTTAGTACTGCCAAGTATTTGTAGGACATAGTCGGTTAAGAGAAGGTTTCAACAGTCTAGCGATCTATGTCAAAAAAGCTGATAGTTCAAAATAGTTGAAGGGAACTCGATCTCATTCTGTTTAGAACCCTGAGTTGTTGAGAAGTTAGATGGGACTGTATTTTGAGTGGCTAAGGAAGAATGTCCCTACTCTCTTCCCCTGTATTGTTATGTTAACATCTTTGTATTCTTTGGGATGCGGTAATTTTTGTTTGAATGTTGTTCTCCGGAGTAGTGACCTTTTTATGCTTTTCCACATGAAAGAAAAAGATCATATATATACACACAAAGGGCAATATATACAAAGAGAAACATGTAAACAACATGCCATTTACATTTGAATCCAGTTAGTGTTTTAAGTCTCCTAATTTAATCGCACGATCTTGTGAAGATAAGCGCCGATCCGTTTACACTTCTTAGAATGAGCAACCTCGAATCTACGTATGTACCACAAACAATCTTCGAAAGATCAAATATTTCTGGAGGAATCTGTGTGCGCACCTCCTGGATGATACTCGGTGCATGTTCGGCAGCACTTGTTAGTGGCTCATCGAGCCTAACTGTCAATTCCAAGTCATTAGAGATAAGTTTCACCACTGGAAGAGTCGAAGGAAATTCTTCCGAGGAAACAATTTTCTTCCATCTTTTACCAGATAAAACTTTCATGGCAGTATCCTCGGCATTTGCCGTTGTCGATGACGGAAATCTTATGGAGTCGTTTTCCTCCTTTAAATACATCCTCCTTCCAGACTTCAATCTGAAGCTGGACTCCGAATTCAATTTTCCATTCACTCCGCTCTTATCGTGGGGCCATTTATGGCCAACTAAAACCGTGAATTGAACATCTGAGACAAATGAGAAGTTTTTCAATGGTTCTGAGCCTCTTGACACGGTCAAGAACACATCGCCAATAAGCACACGGAGAGGAGGCTGCCGAAGCGTCAAACCTAGATGCCTGCCAGTGCAGTACAAAAGCCGCCATTTTCCCGGAAGTAAAGCCAGCCAATGCTGATGCAACAGAAATAGCATCAATAAACAAGTTGACAAAATAAATAAATAAATAAATGATAAAATTCTACACTCTCTCTTTGCTGGGTACAGATGACATGATATGGTATGAGGGTTCCTTATTACTTTTTAAAATAAAACTTCGTTTTATTCATGCAGTCAAGGGAAAAGGTTTTCAAAAAAAGTGAATTGATTGTTTTTTCCCTTCAACTTTAGAGATGAGTTGTCAAAACTCACGAGGTCCAAAGATCAAAACTCACAATTTTCATTCGACGAGTCAAAATAGAGAATGAAATTCCTAGTTGGTAACCAAGGCATGCAGTCTCGTTGCTCGAGCATGCATTGCTAGTGACGATTTAAAGGACAATCAGGAGAGATGAGAGAGCAATAATTGAGATGACTGCAAAATGCTGAAGCAACATGGAAGTTAAATCTAGACGGCACAATGCTCGACTGTGAATTAGATGGGAGAAAACAAGAAATCAGACTTTACCCTTGGCTTTGAACGTTGATTTAACATTTCCATCAGCTCGATAAAATGTGCAAGCCTATTTCGCTGTAACAATAAGAAAAACAAAATGAATGCCTTCACAAAAATATATGTTCTGAAGTTGAGCAGAATAGTCCTGGGGGCAGAATTTCAATCATGATCAAAGATGTAAAGACAAACTCCTGAGCAGCCATTTTAAGAACCAAAAAACAGGATAAGAATAGTAGGTTCAAGAAACTTTTCGCTTGAGGCAACCAAAAAGATGAAAAATGATTTGCAAAAAGTGTCCCTCAACCTGCTGCTGGTTGTAAATGTACTCCTCTGTTATGCGAACAGCAGCTGAACCAAGACTCCACCTGATCATGTCTGTAGACGGGTCTATCTTCCACCTTGGTCCACATAAGAAGGGATGTCTCAAGGCTTTTAGGCAGCTGTTGAAAGAGCAAATCAACAATACGATGAGATGGAAGCCAACAGGATCATCAATATACCTTTACCTAACACTAAGAAGATTGAAAGGTAATGGCAATTTTTTCCGGTGTAACTTTAATTTTCATTTGAAAAGCAAGTTCAGAATCTTCACTAGAATCATTAAATAAGTTCAGACGCACTGTGCGTGCTAACAAGATGCAGAGTATACCACAGACTGATACATGGGTACTAACAAAATGCTTGTTCAACCATAGCATGAGGTAGCCTACCTTATTCTCTCTGACGGTTTGATAGCAAGGAGAAGTGAAAGCAAGTTCCAGCCTGCACCCCAGTTTCTATCCAGGATCTGTCATGAAGACAATATGGCATTATATTTCTCAAGGACAGAAAAAGGGTGCAGCTTAATTGCAGGATTAAGAGAAAGAATTGGTACTGACTTGAAGTCCAGTGTTCCCAGATGATGAATTTTTATTGAGTGTGCGTAATAGAAACTCACGCAAGCAGGAGGGATCATTTCCCTGTAAGTATTAGGAAATTCAAGTAAAATAAGAATTGATTATGTGAGTAGTTCATTTTACTATATGAACATTAAGATACCTTGGTGAGGAATGCTTTAAATTTCACAAATAATGAAGAATCCATGAGTTCCCTCAGCACCATTTTGGCCATAATGAATCCAACACACCTGAAAGCAACCACCAAAAGCGGAAAAAAGGCTTAGTTATATTATTTTGCAACGACATAGAGAAAAGCATCCAAATAACAAAGTACAACTGAACCAACCTCATGTCAAATGCAATCATCATTTTCCGACGGTCCATGTTGCTACTTATCATGGTACTCTCTGAACTTTCGTTAAAATCAGCAGCATTTCCCAATATCCCAACCTGTTAAGGAGAAGTTAAAACGTTTTTGAAGACAAGCTTAGAAATTCAACTGATCCGTTTATTCCAATTGGAGTTAATCATCGAACAGTCCGGTAGATTCCTACCAGTAAAGACATTAATATCCACAAGTAAAAGTAAGGCTTATGCAAGTATTTTTCCACAAGAAATAAAGCACACAAGAACTAAATAGAAAGCATGCCATTTTGCTATATTTACTGGAATGCAGGCGTAGTTACAAACACATCAAGTACCAGATAGACATATGTCAGTCACTATAAATCAGAGGCAACCACAGTACAAAGAAATGAGCATATTCTCACTTTGACATGTTTATCCACAGGGCTAACGTGCAAATTTTCAAGTCTCAGTTCTGTATGTGCTAGTCCATGGCTGTGTAAGTAATTAACCTGAAACGGAAATGCAGCAAAAATCACTTGATCCACGTGTTCACTGTCAATGCTTATGGAATCATATAAATTTGAAAACTACTCCATACTCCAATTAAAAGATCCCTCATCAAGATACGGATAAGTCGTAACTGTCGGGAAACGGCAGGTCCACCAACTGTGTCATCTCCTACTTTCCTTGCTGATTCTTCATCCAAAGCAAGAGTTGCCTCCAATGTGGGAAGCCAATCAGATTGTTGCAACCAATGTCTTAAAGAGAAACTGCCATGATACTGAGAATATAAAAATCAAGGATCAAATTCCTTAGAAGTCTCTTGCTAACCAAATAAAATACAGTAGATTATAATTGAAAAAAGAAAAAAAGATTACTCTCCCAGTTAATCCAATCTGCGATCTTATGCAAGTCTACGGAAAACTAGCGAATTATTCTGACTAATACCAGCAGAAAAAAGCAACTGACCCCATGGACAAGAGTAAAAGAGCCACTGTCACTGGTGGTAGATGAACAGATATAGCCATAAACTTGCATGGAGTAAGAATGATACATTAATCGGCGATGAGCAAGTCTCTTCAAAACCTAAACAAATTAAAATAAGGATAACATGAAACACATTTCAGAGGATACTAAAATTGACCTGGCTATATCGACAAGCTAACCTCGATGGCTCTTAGTCCCCTGCGCTTAGCTTGAACACTAATCAGCCTCCGAAGAACAACTTTCGTGTTATACAATGGACTGCACATAAACTCGAAAATTCAATATATGCAACAAAAATAAAGCCAAAATAGTCTTAAATAAAACTTCTCAGAGTTTCATGATCAGCTTAAAATAGAAACTTAACCTGTTAACATCTTTCACGGTGGCTTCAAAAAGGATCTCATCAGCCTGGAATCATAACAAAGGCAAAAATAGTCCAAATAAGCAATCGCGAAATGTATAACAAAAGAGAATGAAAATTAGGAGAGAGCAATGGAAGAAGCAGTTACTCGGCTGGTGAGGCCAATGCTGACGCGATCACTGATCTTGAAATCGGACATGTTGAACTTGATGACGTGGCTAAAATCATCCCCAACACACCTATCGCACAAATCACCTCCTACTTCGCCGCCGCTGCGGTCTTCGAACTCCGCAGTTTGTGTGGAGACAGAGCATGCAATTCTCCTCCACCTCCTCCTCGGCTTAGGCCGGTTGAATTTGACCGCCGCGGTGTTGACTTGAGGCAGAAAATTAAGCTTAGTCGACGAATGGAAAAGGCCGAGGCGTAAGCAAGGCAACTCAACAACGCATTCCGCCGGCGGTGCGGAACAAAGTCCGACCGACAGAACCGCCACCATCGCGTAACAACAACGACGATACCAGAAACAACACAATTCGCCGCTCAAAGAAAAATTAAAAACAACGGCGAACTAATTCAGAATCAGGAAAACCAGCTGAAGCAACAAACGGCATAAAGCGATCACAAAAAAAGGAAAAAGCGGAAGGAAATTGGAAGGAAGAAAGGAAGGAGTTGGTAAGGGGAGATGAGTAAAATGTATTGAGGTTAATTTAAGAAGGTAAGATGGGGGGGAAGAGAGAAAAGACAAAGGAATGGAGAACTACTGGAGGAGAGAGGAAGAAGAAGGGAAGAGTGCGAAAGAAGCGTGTAAACTGAAGGCTGGTTGCATTCTGACATGAGTTTTCCGCATGTCTACATCTCCGCCCCCCAAATATCTCTCTCCTCCTCCTCCTTCTTCTTCTTCTTCTACTTCTTCTTCTTTCCCCTTCTCTTTTATGATTATATTGTTGTAATTAGGGGAGCATATACGTTTCTTAATTCCCGCCCCTATTCACCTGATAATTAATTGGTCTCCAATGGTTTGGGGCCTTTCTTTTCCCCTTGTGTGTGTGTGTTTTTTGACTACTTTAATCTACTCTATTTACCCCTCCATAAACTCACCCCAACTGACTTAGTTCGATTCTCTCCCCCTTGTGTTTTGAAACATCTTTTTCCTTCATATTTTGCAGGTTTTAGTACGTAAATTCAGCATTTATATAACACCAGAAAAATTATGTTGAATGACAACTAAACCAACCTATCAAATAGATTAAAAATCCTAACACATATTTGGAACGAAATGAATAGTTTGGTATTTTCTCCGTCCAAAAATAATTGTCTAAATTAAATTTTAATTTTTTTTAAAACAAATTACACCGAAAACGAAAATTAGAACTGAATAATCATCATGTGGACTAAGGGAATAGTAATTATTGTCAGAAGTGTAAGGATTAGGATTTTGGCCACATTAAAAATTTGTACTCTCTGTCCCAAAATTATTGTCCAATTTGATATTTCATTTTTAGTACAATTTAAATTAAAAATAAAAACCCAAACCAGATAATAATTATGAGAAACCCAAACCAGATAATAATTATGGGTCGGAGGGTGTACTAGTAATAAACAAGTAACCTCATTGGTCGTCATACACTATCAATTAGTCAAAGACAAAGAAAATGAGGTAGGCCGGCTTCTGGCGTACTACAAGAAAACAAGTCCACGGGCCCACTAGAGAAATCCCGGTAAACAAACATCCAGTATCCATCCTTCATTTCAGAAGGACCACTCTGCTCGTACTTGCGAACTTTTATCATTCTTGCATACTTACCATCTTTACGTCTGGAAACAGAGGCAATTCAAGTAATAATGTGAAGAATAAAAAATGATGTCGCTTAGACAAAATTACACAAAGTACAGACTAAGAATGCTCAAACATTCGAAGGGAGTACAATACGGCAAAAGAACTGTGTATATTGTATCAAGTAACTATTGGATCAGACATATATAATCCCATCTATACATGGCTTGGCTGCCCCTATATCAAGGTAGTTTTTGCAAAGATTATTATCACCTCAGGGCTGAGAACTATCAAAAAATGAGAACCAAGTTTGCATGTTCCAAAACTAGGGTTTCAGCTGTGAGGTCCATTTCCATCTAGTTAGAGCTCCTTGCGGAGAAACAATGTCTGTCTGTACTGTGTGTTGATGATGATCGACTCTAACCTAATTCATGAACTTTCGACAATTTGGAGATTTACACAAACACGGGACCCTGACTTCATCACTCTCGTCGGGATCAAACAAGTAATCATACCTGCAACAAATGTGTATGGTCAGACAAATCCCGTCATTCATTATCTGATTAGTTATTCGTTATCTTAGATTTCAAAGAGATTTGAGCATGAGAGAGAATGAAGAGTCATTACGTTAATTCGTCACCAGCAGACACATTTGTCTTGGCAATAAGTACAATCCTGCTCTCGTCATCCCCAACACTCATGATCCTTGCATAGCAGTTGGGCATGCACTGTCCGTCCCCAACCAAATCAAAGAAGTTCCAATCAGAAATGCTAAAACAATAAAACAATAGAGTGATTAATGCTAAAACAATAAAACCCAAATGAAACTAGACTCACAGAGTGATTAATTAAGCGCGCAATATTTCCTTTATCTGTAGCATCAACCACAACTTCTTCACTGATCTTAAATAGCTGCAACAGAGGTGTGATAAGTGATAACAATAGAGGCTAAGAAACACAACCCCAAACATTCATTCTCCCAAGATCAACCGGAAGAAGCACAATTCAAGAATGTATCTACTTACGTAGCAATCTTTTCCCTCATTGCGATACTGCACTTCCCTTAAGTCAGCTATACTGCGCCTAACCTGCTCCCCACGGTACTCAAGAACCTGGAAGTAAGCAAATAATGCAGACGAATCAGAACTAAATCACAGAGACTACGAGAAACAGCCCCACTTGTTCTAGAATGATTAAAGTACATTACATACCATTTCTCCTTCAGGAATATCCTTACGAGCAAACAGGCCCCACCCATGTATTCCAGATCTTCCAAAGCAAACACGATCCATTTCTGTTCTCTGTTGGTGCCGAAGTAAAAGTCAATATTAGTGTGGACCCTGGGACCTTTGAAAAGGAGAGTGAGTCCAAACATGGACATGAAGTACGTTAAAGTTACCTGCAAATGGCGAAGTCGTTCCTTAAAGCTAGAAAAATTCTTTGGCTCTTCTATTTCCTGAAATATGGGTCAGTGTCAATTTTTTGTGATGCAGTTCTTTTGATATGCACAATGATGAGAAGAAACTTACCCGGGCAGGATTTAAGTTCAGTATAGCATTTAAAGAATGATGGCAAGGTCCCATAACCTTATGGAAAATGGCTTCTTCACTATTTCGCACACCCTGGAAAGCAGATTTAACAAAAGAATCAAAACTAATTACTGTGCAGCTTATCTGCAAGGTGATTGTATATTTATATATTAGATGTACAATTCTTAATAGGTGAAAGAACCTCATACAACTATTCATTCAGATAGATAAAAATTTAACTAGAGAAGTCTCAGGCACAAAACAGGGGATCAACAACAGGAATTTAACCTACTTTTCACCCACTACAAAGACGCACTGAAATTACGAAGGATAGCTCAACATGATTAACTTGTCCAATGGTCTCACTTAGATCAAGAAGGTTTCGTAAAAGTAACCGGAAGAACACTTAGTCATTGCTAAAACTACCCTGAGCATGACTGACTTCATCAAAGAGGTATGGTGCCTTTGAATATTTAAAGTACCTTATTATTTGCTCTCTTGTAAATTCTGCATCTTGCAGCAGAGTGAGGCTCCACATCATTCAACTCTACAGTTGGAGCTTCATGAAGTTTCAACCTATTCGATGAAATCAATCTAGAGCCAGTACTCTTTTTATTCTGGAGCAGGTTTTTAGTTGAGATAGTCCCTTTAGGAGTCTCAATAATTAGCACATTATCTGGATTCGGGGCCCTGCAAAGAAAATACAGCGAAGGAAACAGGAGGAGAACATCAGATTTCAATCAATCTCTCCGATACATTGCCGATATCCTGACTACCTCAATACACAATAAAACAATTAGTTATATCAACTTTACTAACTAAACCATAGTAATAGTGCTATGAAGCAAAGGTCTAAATAAAGAAATTACCTGTGATAAGCACAGTACGAGACCATCTTGGTGATTTGCTTTCCATTTTTCTCCAAGCAATGCAACTGCCATCAAAACATATCAGTGAAAGAAAATGGAGTTAAGGAGAAAGCATGCAAGGAGAGGATGTCACAAAGAATGTACATAAAATAAGCAGAATCAATTAACAATTGGCCAATTTAGGTATGTTTATATTGTCAAATACTGGGCATGGGCCAATCTGTCCAGAAGATTCTCATGTAAGATAACTATCCAGTGAGTCCGACAAAAAGCAAGAGCCAACCATCCAAAGGAAGAAACCAAACATTGAAAGATTACACTTCAATTTTAAAGTATTTAGCAACTAAAGGGAACCAATGCGGTCCTGCTCTATAGGCCTCGAAAGCTAAGATGAAACATGAATGGCATGGCATTGCGAACACCTCTGTTTATCCAAATATCCATTTTATGCACTTTAACATAACTTTAGATGATGATCAACTATTTTCATTCTAATCTCTATTAAATTAATAATTTAAAAATGAATTTACGGATCCCTATAGATAGATGAAAAGGTATAGATTCGGACATATACAAAATAATTGAACCAATAACTATTCATGATTTCACAATTAAATCAAATCTACAATAATTAAAAATTCAGAGGAATGTTATGCTAAAACTTCGTTCGAAATGATATCTGAAACATAAATTTGTCCCAGTTCGCAAGAAAACCACCTAGTGGATAATAAGCTGTATATCTATCGGAGTTTATACACAAAGAAACAATCTCACCTCCATGCGGTAACCAGCCCTTGATGCACATGTTGCATGGTAATAAGTGGAACACTTGCTACATTGTGTACAGGAACCATGGATTTGCTTGCAAACTACACAGATCTGAAAAACAAAATTTACAGAAATCAAGTTACCCATACATTAAAAACTTTGACTATGCTACGCAAATCAGATAACTTAGTAGATGACAAGCTACGAAAAAGAAAATGCTGCTTTCTGGACCATCTTATAATACATCAATGACACATCAGTGTTCAACAACTTGTTTCCAATATTAGCAGATTACCAAGTCCAGAATGAATGAAACACAAAACCAAAATCACTAGTAAAGTTAAGTAATATCTAAACTCTACCTTCACAAAAGAATTTGAAGGAATCCTCAAGATGCCTGTGGCAGGCTCCATCTTTTCATCATTTGCAAAACAAACTTCAGGTTGAAACCAAGCACAAGTGACGTGAACCCAAAGCGGACTAATATCAGTGGGCTTCATAGCCCCACCTGAATTTCAAAAAGACAGAGGTTATAAAGTTTATTCTATACCAAATGAGATTTCTTCAACAGTAACTAGGAAGAAATACAATGATAAACATAAATGCAACTTCACATTATTATAATAACAAAAACATGGGAAGTACTCTAAACTTGTTTGATCATGTATGATGCTTCAAAGATCAACAACCCCTCAAAAATCTACAGTAATTTCAGATAATTACAATATCCCAGGCAAACTTAAAAAGCATTTCTTAGGAGAGGGGATCTTTGAAGTGCATGCTACACTCACTAGGGTCTAAAGGATGAAAAGTACAAAGTGTTTTGAGACAACTACTTAGTATCCCACTAAAAAAGTGGGGGAAGGAACCTTTAATCATCAGAAGTCACTGTCATTTGCTTACTAGCAAGATTAAACTTAATGAGCAGGTAGTTATACCTTTGACAGGGCAGAGGCAACAGTCTCGTTCAATATCAGGTGTCTCACAGGATCTACAAACCCAGGAAGTTAGATCACGAACATTTCTTGCACCATAGCATTCCTGATGAACGGCTATTTGACATCTGACAAAACCAATAGTAAAATCAGTGACATCTTCTATTCAATCACATAAGTATAGTTCAATCATCAGCACTACTCATCTGCTAAAAAATTCCTTAATCAAAAGTAACATACACAGAAGTAATAAAGCAGAAGGACCAGATAAAATATGTCATTAGCTTTCATATACAAACACAGAAGTAACGTACACCTGTTGCATATAATTATTTTATTGTAATCCCAATCTTCAACCCATCTGCATACTGCACACCTCTCAGTCGTCCACTTGGCATAAACGGGTTCATATTTTTCTGACATTAAAATGATACAGAATCAATTCCTGGTTACACATTGAAACTCTCTGCTTAGTCAAATAGAAAGAAGATTGTATTTAAAAATAAATACCTTGAAGAAATGCCAGCAATTTCTGCCGCCGGACTTTAATTGAAGGGCGCTTCACGGACTTGACAGGAACAAGACTTTGTGCATGAGACTCGGCAACCTCCAGCATCTATAAACCCACATAAATCCCATTTGAGTTATCCTCAGAAATTCTCAGCAAAGGCATAATGACATTGGCATAGGCGAAAGAAAAATATGCTATATTACATGTAACTGTTAAACAGCCCAGATTAGAGAAAATTATGACCCCACAGATTAGCACAAACAAAATGGCGTATAATACACTGATAAGTAGCATACATGGTCCAAATTGAAAAGCAGACTCAGGGAGTGCACACATGAAGCATTTAAAGCATCAAAATTGACAATGTCAATAACATCTGAGGCATTCGAAGAACTAAAATACGAACCCATTGTTCCAACGGTATCATGGAACCTTTCACCCTGATGCTTGTCTTCCAATCTTTGGTTTTGCAACCTGTATGCCTTTCCCACTCACTTAGTGCCTGCTTTTCGGTTCCACAAGAGCCACACTTGCAAACAACTCTAGAATAGGGAGGAAAAGAATGTGAGAATTTCTAAATAAAAAAGGAAATTCCAAGCACGTAGATGGCATCCTTCATGGTCGATTCAGCGCAAGGGAGGCAGGGAAATAAAAGCTAAACTCACATGCAGTTATCCATGCCTATTGTAGTATTGCTTCATTTTTTAGTAAGCCGAAACTAAAAATTATTGAAATTTTGCACACAAAAACTGACACATTCAATCAATTGTCCAGATTGCTCATATCCATTCTCTCACTTGTCTAATTCCTGCCCATACAACATAATATCTCCATATCTCCATATCTATATATCTACTCTATATGTTTTCACACCATAGGTAAAAATTCAAAAAATCATACGACCCAGGGAGAAAAAAAATAAAAGGACTCTCGGCAACATAATTAGCGTGAGCAAAGAATGCACCATATTACATAGAGCAAACTTACGAATGAAGGCTAGGGAAGTAGATGCCTTCCACCCCAGAGCAGACAACCGAAACCTTGTCAGGAGGACCACTCTTCTTCTTATTTCTATACCAGGAACACCACCCATGTAAGAAACCACATAATGTAATGCAGGGCCATACTGAACAAATTAAAAACGGAAAGATATCTTACTTCGTTTTAGAGAGCATATTTTCCGAATCAGACAATTCAAAATTAAACCTGGCTTTGCATTCGGGGCAAAAGTAATCAGTGGTGCCGAAAACCTACAACAGAAAGCGAGGTTCAACGAATTAATTTCTTGACAAGGCCAATTAGATGAACAAAGGCAACACCAAAGATGACATAAAGAAAAACCTTCAAACTCCTGTTTGAAGTTTTGTCACACTCAGCGTGCACCCAACTTTTACAGCCATTGCAGCGTATCTGATTAGGTATATGAAACATGTCGCATGAGATTACAAGATAAACAAATAAACATGAAAATACTAGATGAAATAAGTATATGGATTAAAACTACAACACTATAGTGTTAAGTTTGATGGTCTCACCCAAGTCCCATTATCGGAATTATTACGAAGCTTTTTGCATACGACACAGTAATGCCTTATTTTTTTCAACTGCAATACGTAAAAAAAGAATGAATGAACATGACTTCCAAACATAACTTGTAAAATGAAAAGGGTCAGTAATCTAACAGACCCTTGCACATGAAGCACACAGGAGATGGCCTGCGGGATTTGAATCATTCAATTTCTTTGATAATTTAGGAGAGATGCTTGTTCCGCATGCCTCGCAAGTTACAGCCCCTTTCTTTCTCAACAGTTCCTGGAAGGAAAATTGACAACTGTTAAACTTTAAAAGGCGTATTTTTTAAATAAAAGTCATCCGCATAAACGACAGATCATAAAATTAACATAAAATTTCCAGACACGCGTCACACGCCTCCTCATAAATGCACTGGTCCAAAGAATGTACAGAATCATTAGTGATCATATACTTGCCTTGTTCAACGAATTATAATCAATATCTTGATTCGAGTCAGAAACCTCATAAACCCCTCTACTAAGTGACTGGAAATATTCTAAATTTCCAGCTGCTGCATTAATTTCAAGCAACAACATCTCATTAAACCCATTTTCAGCCAAAAAGGCCTCCTCAATGGCAGATCGAAGATCACCAGTCTCCCCATCATTTAACTCGGTCTGTCCCTGAAAACTAAACCAACAGAAATTCAACCACATTTGCTCTATAATAAGAAACTTATTTCAAGATTACAGATATCAAAATACGAGAACAGCAAACCTGTCTACATAGTCTATAAAAGGAAATATCATTCCGCGCTTGACCCAAGCATAATCCTGCATAATACATACATTAATAAATTTCAATCATTCAAATTCGCGCCGGATCACAACCGCCACACACCAATTTTCAGCATATATTTTAATAGGGATGATAACTCAGAAAGCAAAAGCTTACCCTTTGCGTCCCGTTACCAGAGTAACCAAAAAACATAACACAAACTGCGCCGGAAATACGATAATTCAGAACTTGTTGGGGAGTTTGCGTGTCTGGATCAAGGACAATAGCTGGCCAAGCAGGTGAATGCTTCCCCGATATAGCCCAAACTATATCACCTGGCAGAAAGTCATCCAGCCCATATATTCTGCCCTTCCTCTTTACCTCCTCCTTGCAGAACTCATCAATGCCACACAAATCAATAATTTCCTCTAACTCCTCAAACTCATCAACCTCAGTTATTTGCTCATGCAACGACGTTATTGTGCTCCGGGAACTAGAATGCTTCTTAAAGCTGGAACTATTCATCCCTCTGGAGCCAAATTCATCCTCCAAAAATGCAGGGACCTTGCCAATGTGCTTTGTATTCCCCAATTCTCGAATTCTGGAACTTTTCGAATTGCATTTATCCTTGGATGGTTCAAATTCAGGATCCGAATCCTCTTCCTTCACAGCAATTTTGCTCTTATCTTTCTTCCAATTATCAAGAACCGAGTCATTAAATCGAGAAGGAAGAACCTGAACTCGCCCTCTAGAAGTTCTCACCAGCGGCGGCCGTGAAGGCTCTGTTCTGTTGCCGTTGCCACCACTTTGTTTGCCCTTCAATTTGGACTCCGCCTCCCCCCGACTGTACGAAGCTCCGTTACACCACGAAGCCGCCGTGGTTGCACCGGCGGCGCCTTCTTTTGCCAGAATTCTCTGTATACCATAACCACTGAAGGGTAATCCAGAGCCAACCTCACGGAGCAGATGCAGCGGATAATAGCCGGTACTGGTTTTCCGTTTCTTTCGATTCCCTGAACTTTCTTCATCGTCTCCGCCACCAGAATCGCCGGCTCGGCAACGTTTTACACTCGGCATTACAGATTTCAAGTTCCTCTTTATTATCATCTCCCTCAACTACCCCTCCAAAATCCAATTCCAACTCCCAATTCAATCCAAAAACCCTAATTAGCCTCCAATGAACCCTAATTTACACGATACACAGCATAAACTTGGCGGCCAAGCGAAGAACACCGAGTTATTATTAAACAAAATCAAATGTCCGCACAGCGGTAACGAATTCTATCATCCAAACCGATCATTCCTAGAGATTAACAATAAAAAGAGGATAAAAAAAAAGGATCGAAAAATCGCTTCGAAGAGTGAAGTTTTTCCAATAGGGGATCTCTGTTTCGGGCAGCTCTTGTTTTTGTTTTTTTTAGTTTTCTTTTATTCTCTCTCTACACCCAGCAACTCATGTGAGAGAGACGAAATAAGAAAATCACGAATTCGAGAAATCCGATTTTATTACACTGAGGGAAAAAGAAAAGAAAAGAAAATTTTAGTTATGGTTTTGGCAGTGAGGACTGAGGAGGGATAATGGTGAATTAAAAATTAATCATGAATTTTCCTTTTATTGCCGTTTGGGAAGTTTTGGCTTGTGAGATTTGAGATGTGGGCTTTTTGGTACGAGGATAATTTGGTTCGGATTGGGCATCGGCGAGATTGGCTCTAGTAAGTTCTGTTTCAGAAAAGGTTTTGGATTTAACGTGGGCAACGTCGAACTGGGTGTTCTCGTGCATTTTTATTTTTCTTTTTGCAGAGGACGGTGACATTGTTGCTGCTGGTTAGCTAGCTGGATCAAGTAGTACTACTATGTTAAACTATGTTCCTAAGAAGTTGGAAATATTTTTCTTTTTGAGCTATGGAGATATTTGGAGACTGGGAGAATGGGATAATTTTAGTCCTTTTTATTTATATTTTATCTCATAGTAATTATTTTTGTATATATTTGTTGATGGCGCAAATAGTTTTGGGTTTTCCATGGTTTGTTGTTGTTGGAAATCTTTTCCTATACGAGTATTTAGATCTGGTTGCAATATTCTTTTTTGGGGGTCCTTTGATAGGATTTTTCTTTTTCATTTTTTCGTTCAATTTTTTTAGTTCAACAGAGGTATCATCGAAGTCTGTCCGACAATGACGATGACGACTATTCAAAGATGCCCTGTTCGACTGATCGAAGGTAACCAACCACGAAACTAGTGTGCTCTGCGTGCGTGTGTGTGTGTGTGCGTGAGTTAGTTTGTTTAGGGATGTAGGTAGACGAAATTTTTTATGTATGATTTATCCAATTCTAGAAATCGATCGCCGGAGCTGGCTACCGATATGATTAAAGACTAACAAGGTTGAGTAGAGAACCAGCATATTGGAAGAAGGGCCAAAATATTGAGGAAAACAAAGTGTGCCGATTTCATGTTAAATTTGATATTTATTTATTTATTTCCTTTAAGGTTATTGGTAATCTGGTTCGGATCTTGAACCGGCAACTTGGCTTTCTACTCCGGCGAGTTTCGCCGGAACAGGTGGGCTAAAGTAGGTCATGAATAAGTTGTAGCCTCTGTACAAGTCCTTTAAAAAGAAAAGTTAATCTTTAGAGATAACACAAAGATGGAGGAAAAAAAAAAAAAAAGTAGATTTAGGCACCGTTGCTATGCTTTTTGTTGGCGCCTTGGTGGTTTATTAACTAGTGACTAGGTTAGTATTATTTCAATAATTTAGAAGAAAAAAGAAAAGGAATTGTGATCTGGGGTGTTAAAGAATTAGACAATATATTCAGTGTTGGACTGTTGGGTATAGAAAAAAAAAGAAACCGTCTAGATTCTGAACCGGCAACTTGGCTTTCTACTCCGGCGAGTTTCGCCGGAACAGGTGGGCTAAAGTAGGTCATGAATAAGTTGTAGCCTCTGTACAAGTCCTTTAAAAAGAAAAGTTAATCTTTAGAGATAACACAAAGATGGAGGGAGAAAAAAAAAAAAAGTAGATTTAGGCACCGTTGCTATGCTTTTTGTTGGCGCCTTGGTGGTTTATTAACTAGTGACTAGGTTAGTATTATTTCAATAATTTAGAAGGAAAAAAAAAAGGAATTGTGATCTGGGTTGTTAAAGAATTAGACAATATATTCAGTGTTGGATTGTTGGGTATAGAAAAAAAAAGAAACCGTCTAGATTCCGGTGAGGTGTGCACCAGAGCCAAAAAGAGCCTCCTCCCTTCGCCGTTCACCGGCTCGGTATGCTTCAAGATACGAAGTAGTAATTTGATATTGAAAAAGACTAAACTGTATAAATGGCCCCCTACATTTGTCCGAATTTAAATTTTGGTCCCCTACATCAACATGTATATGGATTGAGCCTTTACATTTCATTTTAAAATTTTTTTGGTCTCTTTTCATTGTTCCATCACCATTTCCGTTTTGATGACCGTTGAACCTACCAAGTCAGGGGTATTTTCAGAATGACACATATAAGATCAAAATAACAAATGTTTTATAATAAAATAGAATAAAATATCAAAAATTATTATTTTATAATAAAAAATTAATAATTTAAAAATAAAAAGTAAACTTACCTTCACTTGTCTTTTACCTTTACCCTTAAAAATTTTATTCTCATAATCCGAAATGCCATTTATTAATTTTATTCTTACCAAGTCACTGTTCATAAAATTATTATGTTTAATTTTCAAAATTAAAAAGTAAACTTACCTTCACTTGTCTTTTACCTTTACCCTTAAAAATTTTATTCTCATAATCCGAAATGCCATTTATTAATTTTATTCTTACCAAGTCACTGTTGGTAAAGGTAAAAGACGGGTGAAGTTAAGTTTACTTTTTAATTTTGATTTTTTTTTACTGTAGCAAAAAAAGGGGAGAAATTGACTGGCATGTGGGACCCACAGAGGTGGGAAGTGAAAAAAAATTTTGAAATTTGAAATTTGAAATCATTTTAATTTTTTATTTTTATTTTTAAATTATTTAATTTTTTATTATAAAATAATAATTTTTAATATTTGATTTTATTTTATTATAAAAACATTTGTTATTTTGATCTTATATGTGTCATTCCGAAAATACCCCTGACTTGGTAGGGTCAACGGTCATCAAGATGGAAATTGTGACGGAACAGTGAAAAGAGACCAAAAAAGTTTCAAAATGAAATGTAAAGGCTCAATCCATATACATGTTGATGCAGGAGACCAAAATTTAAATTCGGACAAATGTAAGGGACCATTTATACAATTTAGTCTATTGAAAAATGATTGACAAAATTAGAACTTTCGATCATAAATCGTAGTTTCTTTGTTAATGTTACTACTATTGGACCGTCAGATCTTCTAATTACTTCTAAGACAGTAATTGCTTTTTAATTATCATTCATCCTCTTAATAAAAAGGAATGTTGTTAGAGCTCCAATTTTAGATCGAATTGAAAGTATTGTGGCTCTTTGGTGTGGGGTGGCTGATGTTCGGAGGGTTTGGCTTGGGGATTTGACTCGCAGCCTCTCCAAGGAGATGACGACGACGATGATTATCAGATAGCTCTTGTTGTTTTTTGTATTCCTATGATCTTAATTATAAGGCACAAGGATCTAACGGGATTTTATTTTATTTTTATTGTATGTTTTTCCGTAAGGTTTCGGGTGGATGGGGGCGGTTGTTTAGGGTGGGCGGCGTTGTTGCTTTTGGGGAAGAAGGGTTGAGCCACCTTCTGAAGAAAAGGGTGAGGGTTTTGACTTTTGACTGATGATTTTGTTCTTGTCGGCATTCTTTTTAATGTCTTTTAGAATTGTGGTGGTCCAATTGGTTCCTAGTTTCGTACCAAGTTGTATGTACTTCGTAATGGGTTTTGGTAATAATGAAAAGTGAGTTCACCGACTGAGTGTTGTGAACTTGTGTAATTGTACTGAGATAGACTAAACAGTCTACCAACCGAACAGATCTTTCTTTGGAATAAAATGGTCGACTGGGAAAATTTCTCCACCATGAGAAAGGACGTGTTTGCGTCACTAGTGTGACTAATGAATGTCGATACAAAATTCAGCGGCCTTCTTCCATTTTTGCAATACATCCCTAATATTAAAAATAAAATAAAAGAATGACAGCCGGCCGGCAGTGTAGCGCTCTCGGCTCTCCTCTTCGTAAGTTGTAACTAGAAAGTGAATGGGTAGATGTTGGATGCCGGATCTGCCTATTGTTTGACTTAAATGTGTGGATTGGATCGAATGGGCAGATGTTGGTTGTGGTTTTCCGTTCCAATATTAACTTCAATTTACCACAAAATTCACTCAATTAGTCAATTTACTTTTTTTAATATGTGTCAATGCCAGAAACTTCCTTTCATTAAAATGTTAAATTTTTTTGTAAATAAGTTATTTCAATTTACTTTTCACCCGTACATTTCACTAATCTTTATTACATTTCATATATATTTTTTCCTACTTAATTAATAATGAAAAACCTATCTTTTCCATTGTTAATTTATTTTAACTTTTTTTATTGGTTACTATAAATATTTTTTAACACAAATTTAAGCAGAGTTCACTGTGGTGGAATTTTTTGAAAAAAAAATCATAAAATTTATTTCATTGAATGAGAAACTATCAAGAATGTATAAAATGTAGTATTTTTCTAGGAAAAATCTAACTAAAAAAATTACTAAAGAGATATTGTATATATCGTTACATTTTTTTTCCTTGTGAGTTCGCTAAAACTTTCATTTTGAATTTACTAAATTTATTTGTAAAAAGTTACAAATTACACTACTAAGTTACAAATTACACTCCGAAGTAATTCTTCCTTTTGTACCTCCGTTTCGACTATCCCCCAAAGTTTCTGGATGCTTTCCGAGTTCTTGTCGCTTCCCCCGAAGAGAAGCCCCAGCTTCGAAAAGAAACAGACCATTTAAAAACTCGATATGGACAACGAGGTCGTCGACCTGATTGATAAGCAACAACTCCTTATTGAACCGGTCGTAATATTGGGCCAAAGACTCGATTTTCCCTTGGCATATCGACACCAACTCATGGATGATTTTGGAGGACCTCTTGCTAGAGAAGAACCAAACATGCAACATCCAACCCAATTCAAGGTAAAACCCAACACTTCCCGGAGGCAGGCTGTCGAACTACGTCTTGGCTCGGTCTATGAGAAAGGTTGGTAACTACTTGGCCATAAGTTCTCTTGACGCTCCTCGGAGATCCATGATGGTCGTGTACTCGGCCAAAAAGCTGACGGGACAGGTGTCTCCACTGTACTTCTTGATGTCTTCGGGCAATTTAAAGTTATTAGGTTTGGTGCATACCCGAATATGCTCTGCAAAAGGACTCTGGCTGACCTCATGCCCCCGAGGATGGCTTCCAGTCGAGGATCAACTCTGAGAATGGTCAGGGTTCCAGTCGAGGACCCTCAACGACTGCGAAAACTGCTGGGCATGGTGATCCTCGGTTGTCTGGACGTTTGGATTGACCCCGAGGTCAGCATCTCTCTCATACAAACTGCAAATTGGCACTCTGTCTTTTCTCCTTCTTGCCATAGTAGTCCTCCTCAAAGCACCAGATTCTTCTTCTAAAGTCTAGATACCTTTGGGAAAAAGCCTTATAGAACTCGTCGTCATGGAAGCGGTGAAAAGGATGCGACGACCTTGCAGCTCCGGAGAAGGGGCGAGATCGTCGATTCTCACATTCGACCTCCTTGTCAGCAGGACAGGAATGGCTATGCCTCTTCTCATCATGTCATTGAGAATGGGTAGTCCTTTCTCCAGTTCTTGACGTACGATTGTCATCTCTTTCTTTCTCGGATTCTTTTCGGGGCGAATACCGAGACGACCCTCTCATTATTTTGGACCTAATAGTAGGGCGTTGGCTAGTGCCTTCCTCACATCTCGCCCTAGTAGAGACCATAATTCTTGTAGAGCCCTTAGGCTCGCCCTTGCTAAGTATGTTCCTCCCCACAATCGACGCCACTTGACAAAGGCAAATTCCGATGGCGGCAAGTCAACGATCAACTAGGTCGAACACCTGCAAAACAAAGGTTAGAACTCTGATTTCAAAGTTAGTATGGTGAGTGAAAATAATAAATACACACTTAGAGAGAAAAAGATAAATGTGAATTAACCCCTTGTATTTTTTCAGTAAATGTCTTGGAGTATTTATAATTCACTATTTAGAAACTGTCCAAAAGTGAAACCCATGAATTAGAGTCCATATGCACTTGGGCCGATGGGTCGCGCCTTCCTTGAGGCCCAATATTGACCATTTGGGCTCAACAATATTTTGCTTCATCAGAACGAGTCAAAATAATATTTTATCTTTCATAAAATATATACTATCTTGAATATGAAATATAAAAAATAGATAAATATAATTTACATAATAAAACACGGATAAAAATTATTATATCACAAAACCCACACAAATTTTATCATATTGCAACAATAACGTTCGACTCATATGTAATCATAATTTTACAATTTTACGTAATATATATAACATAATCAATACAACGCACATGGATAATTCTAGTATAGACACAAATCAACAATTGTTGAAATATGCACATTTTTAATCCCACTTGAAGGAGTAAAGAGGTTTTTTTTAAATCAATGTTAAAAAAAAATGATCTGCAAAGTAAAAAAAAAATAGTGAAAAAGATAGTGAGTTATGTGGAGTATTCTTGGTCCTTTAGTTTTTTGTCACTTTTCCGTTAAAACTTTATCTTTCTCTAAATATTATATTTTTACCCCTAATTAATTAGTACGCATATTTAGTAAAGATGGTGTATTTGTCTTTTCATTAGTCATTATTCCATTTCGCTGCAATTTGTCACTGTCTCTATTATTGCTCAAAAGAAAAGGTTTTTGTTTTTAAACTAAAAAGCTTAAAAAATAAAGAAGTACGGGTATTTATCAGGTGATAATTTGTGTTTTTGTATATGTACTGGGGAAAGCCGAAACTTTAGATACAAAAGCAACTCATCGAAAGTGAGTTGTACTGGGGCAGTCTAGCGGGGGGTGTTGGCAAAACGTATAACCCCGGTGCATACTGTAGACCTAATTTGGCCAATGAATCTAATGATTCATTTCCGGGCCTGCGTATGTCGGAGATATCTACTGTCCAATTGCGATTCAAAAATAATTTCAGCCTATCTAACAAATTACTTGGGCTGGAGGTTGGGCCTTCTTCATTGAGCAGATTCACAGCTTGTAAGTTGTCCAATTGGAGTTGTATTCTCCTAAAGCCCAAGTCCCATGCAATTTTGAAAACAAAATAAACGGCCCATAGTTCTGCTTCTAGAACACTGCAATCACCTAGATTAGCCACAAATCCTGAAATCCACCATCCTTCATCGTTTCTTAGCAAACCTCCGGCCGATACTTTCCTCGGCGAGTGTTGCACGGTGCCATCAGTATTGAGACGCACCCATTCTCGAAGAGGTGGGATCCAAAGTGATTGTGGAGGATTGGTACCGGTCCAAAGCGGTAGGGAGTTGGGAGAAAGGAGCTGGTCCGGTTTCCGTCGGCGATGCGTGTTGTTGAGTTGCCGCTGACTTCAGGATTTTGAAGGATTTGATAATTTCGTTTACGGCGGCCTCGATCGTTGCTGTGAGCTCTTTGGAACCATGGTAATTTCCTTAAAAACGTCGTCATTTCAGGCTCTCCAAATCTGCCAACAAGCGGTCGCAAATCGGGTCGGTCAGTTTAGGTCTACTTGCACATTAGAGGGATTCAAATCAGAAAAGAACTAGGCATTCCAGTCATCATTAGTCCATAAATCAGTTGAGAGGTTGGGATTAAGGTTTCTCCAGATTTGACTGGTTTTCGGTCAATCTTTGAACAAGTGGACGGTGGTTTCGCTTCTGCCGCAAAAACCGCATGCATCATCTACCGTAAGGTGTCTCCTCTTTCTTTCTGTATTTGTGAGAATTGATTGTCTGCCCAGTGTCCATAAGAATGTTTTGATTTTTTCTGGACCCTTCCATTTCCATATGGAGTTCCATTTGATGTTTTCTGGTTCCCAAGTTTTGTTGTTGAGTACTGTGTACGCTGAAGTAGTTGTAAACGCCCTTGTTTTGCTCCACCGCCATATGGGTTTGTCTAGTCCTAGGATTGAGTCAGGTGTGGGTGTTGTCATGATTTTGAGGCATATCTCTGCCGGTAGGTATTGTTTGATGAGGCACCAGTGCCAATTCCCACGTCTGTGAATTCCTTAAGATATTTGTTCTTTAGTTCGTCCGGGACAGATGAGAGTGAATGATAGATGAGTGCTTCGTCCAAGTCAAGCCAAACATCCTACTAGAAAGCAATCCTTTCTCCATTCCTGATAACCCATTTGATTCCATCTTTTGCAGTTTGCCAAACGTGCTATTTGTTTTCCTAGCTGTGATGTCCTCTAGAGGTTGGGATGACAGGCGTATTTTGCTCAAAAAATTGAAGTCCTCAAGCTGTTTTTTGCTATTAGAAGCTCTCATGCTAGTTTTAGGATAAAGGTGTGATTTACATCCCTGAGTTTTCGGAGCCCTAAACCTCCTCTTGTTTTAGGTTGGCACACAGTGTCCCATTTTACTAGATTCATCTTTTTTTTTTCCTTGTGTGCTGCCCCTTAAAAAGTTCCGCCTAATCTTGTCGATTTCGTCACTCGTACCTTTTGGGATGCTCTGAGACTACATGAGATAGATCGGTACAGCGGCTAGGACGGATTGACATAACATAAGCCTGTCAGCCATACTTATTCTTGATGGGTTCCAGTAGGTCGTTTTTTTGCTTAACCTTGTATATCAGAGGATTGTAGGAATCTTTCTTGACTCTCCCATGAATGATGAGGACTCCTACATAATTCCCTAGGTTATCCACCAATTTAACTTACAACCTAGAACTGAGTACTACTACTGTGGTTGTATCCAAATTTGGAGAGCAGTAAAAACTCTGTAGTATATCGGTAATTACTTGAGCTTGTTCCCTAGTTGCTTCTGCAAAAAGGATCAAGTCTTCAGTGAAAAAAAGATGGGATAGGGTTACCTGGTTGTTTCCAAACCTGAGAGGTTTCCAACGACCAGCTGAAACTGTTGCATTGACGGCATGTGAGAGCCTCTCTATGCATAGTATGAAAACGTAGGGAGAGAAGGGGTCTCCCTGATGAACTCCCTTGTTAGGATTGAAACTTTCACTCTTTAGCATTCCATAAGACATGCGTTGAACCTGTTTTTAGGGAGCTTAAAATCAGTTTTGAGAGCAGAGGTGGGATTGCTGCGTCCGAGAGAGTTTCTTCGATGAAAACCCAACTGATGCGATCGAAGGCTTTTGCTGGGTCAATTTTGATCACCATCCAACCAATTTTGCCTTTGGTTATGCGCATCGAGTGAATTGCTTCTTGCTGTGACAATATTGTCTATAATGCTTCTTCCAGCTATGAAAATTGATTGAGTTGATGCTATAAGAGTTGGCATGATCTTCTTCAAGCGATTTGCCACCACTTTAGATATGATTTTGGCGGAAATGTTGATGAGGCTGATTGGCCTTAGGTTCTGAAAACTTTCTGGGGGTAGACCTTTGGAATGAGAACAATCATTGCCTTTATTTATCATGGGGTCTATTTCGCTTGTTGAGAAAGCTTCCTTGACCATTCTGTAGACGCTTGTTTTGACAGTGTCCCAATTGTTCTGGTAGAAACCTGCTCCAAAACCGTCTATTCCGCAAGCCTTGGCCGGGTTCATTTGAAAGACAGCTTTTTGAACCTCTTCTTCCTGAAGTTCTCTGTTATGATTCTTTTCAATCTTTGGGGAATGGTTGGGAACATTCCATTAATGTGGTAGTCCCCTGATGTGGTGACTGGTCATGAGTATAGTTTCTTGAAGAATAGGGTGGTTTGCTGTCTAATTGTTTCTGGATCGGTGCTCCATGTGCCATTCCCCATCTGCATTTTGTTTATGTCTTTATTCTGGTTTTTTGGCTTGTGTGCAGCATGGAACATTTTTGTGTTTCTATCACCTTGGGTTAGCCAAAGGGATCGTGAGTTTTGCATTCTCAATTTTTCTTCATGTGTGACTGTCGTCTCAAATTCTTCTCTGAGCTGCTTTTCTATCTCTATAAGGTTGCTAGAATGATGTAGAGTTAGAGCTTTTTGTATGCCATATAATCTGGCCAGAATTCTCCTTTTCCTCCTGAAAATGTTGCCGAATATACTGAATTTCCATTCATCAATGTTTTGGCAAAGTGTTTGAAGGGCATCTGGCAGATCTTTGTTTGCTGGCCATGTTTTTTGTAGCCACTCCTGCCATGCGTTGTGTTCTTCCCAGGCTGATAAATACCTGAAAAATTTGTGTTGTGCAGATGGGAAGAGGTTAGGGTAGAATTCAACATATATTGGAGAATGGTCAGAGGCTAACCTGGGTAAATGTTGCACTGTTGGGTGAAATGATCATTCCATTTGATGTTGACCAGTGCCCTGTCGAGTCTTTCGTGACATAAGGCATCTTTCAATGTACACCTTTGTCCTGAGAAGACCGGGTCAATCATCTCAGCATCTTTGATCCAAGAGCGGAAGAGTTTGCAGCCGGTGGTTTTCACCCCTCTAATCTTTTCGTCCTGATGAGTAATGGCGTTGAAATCCCCTCGGGTTATCCAAGGTTTGAAAGTTGCAGCTGCAATGCGACAAAGATTGTCCCACAGTATACGTCTTGTTAGCCGTTGGGTGCTACCGTACACTGCAGTAAGGTAACAAGAGTAGTTTTTTGGAAAAAGGACTCTGCTATGAATGTATTGCCAGAAATTTTCGAGGATCATTATGTTGATGGGATAGCACCAAAGAAGCCAAATCTCTCTAGCAAAGCCAATTGATTCGATTCTATGGGAGTTATTGAAGCCTAGATTTTTTATGATTTGGTCTGCTGATCCTCCACTAGTTCTAGGTTCAACAACTATTAGGATATTGACTTTATAAATTTCAGCAAGTCTTTGAGAACCGATACTGTGTTTAAATTTGCAATTCCTCACACATTTCATGACATTATGTTGTAATTCATAGGAAAAAATTGTAAATGAGTTTGTGAGGGATTATCTACCGGCATCAGGTAGTAACTCCTCATCGAATCTAGGTTATGAATGTTGGGCTGTGTGATAATGTGCTCGTCACTTGTAGGCAAAAACATATCATTGTTGCACAACATCACATCACCTTGGGAGCTTGTCTCCATTACATCATTCAACCTGCTTGGTTGAATTTTCAGCTTAGGTTTTACATGGAAAGTATGGGGTGGGTCTGGTAGTTTGCCTGTGGTTGGGGTGTCTAACTCCGGTGCTGGCTGAGGGGTGAGATGGGGTTTTGGGTCTTGTTGTTTAAGTTTTGGTGGATTGGGATGTGGGATAGAGATAGCGGTATGGTTGGGTCTTATTGAATCTGTTGGGTTATCAGTATGCATGGATTCGTTTAGGGTGGTAATGGGTTGGTAGTGATCTAGTGGGCTGAGTAAGGAGGAGTCTGATAATTATTGGTTCTGGGATTGGTGGGCTGGTAAGGGACCATTTGTGTTCCGGGGGGGGGGGAGGGTCTTCTGCTAGTGGAGCCTTGGTAGTTGGGCTTATGTTGGGCTTGGATGTCTTTTTTACCCAGGTAGTTTCCCTCCCTAATGTTTCTGGCTTTCTTTTTGTAGGTATACTTACTGGGATTTGGCCCACAACTTGTGAGTTTGCTGTTTTGTGGAGACTCTTTCGGTGGTTTTTGTTGCTGCCTGACCTGCCTTAAAAACACAACCCTGCTCTTTCCAGTCGTAGGTTGTTGAGGTAGTCTTGGTTCCAGATGAGGAGGCCTCATCATTCGGTTCTTTTTCAAGTCCTGCAAGAGCAGAAAACGTGTTAGTAAGTAGATTTTGGAATATATTATTTGATTGAGTTTTCTATTTTCCGGTCCATGGGTTTGTCGGGTAGCTGCGTCCTCGTTTGACGGCGTGGCTCCACTCTACCAGGGTTGTTGTCTTTTCTTTTTAGGTGGGGACATGAGATGGGTCATCTGTGTGAGAAGTATCCATTGGACTCTTTTTAAATGGTCGTACTTGCCGCAGGAGTAACAGATTTATTGGAGATCCTCATATTCAACAATGTAAGACTTGCCGTCCATTTTTGTTTTTCTGATGAGGGGTTTGGTAAGATCTAGCTCTACTGCTAGTCGTGCGTATTGCCCTCTCTCGAGTCTCAATTGTAATTGTATGTTTATCTGCCTTGATATGTTTGCCCAACGGTCTGGAGAGTCTCCTTAGCAGGCTTTCGTGGAAATATTGAACCGGGGGGCGGGGATACGAATCCAAGTGGGGATGGCACTGATATTCTCCTCTTTGGTGTTGAATTCGTTGCTCCAGGGGAGTAAATGATGTAGTGCCCGTCCAAAGACCATGGACCATTTAGAAGAGCGGAGTAATAGTCTTCTTCAATGGTTAACCTCAACAGATGGTAACCATCAATGGTGTCTACAGGTTTGATTTCTCCTTTCATTCGCCAGAGTCCCTTGAGGCGCTTGTGGAGGCAGTCGTGGCGGAATTCTTTGCCCTAAGGTTTTACGACTACTGTGAAGGTCATTGCCCTTTCCATTTGTTCACGAACTCTGTCCGAGAAGTCAGTTGTGGGTTGACCATCTTCTTCGCCGTAGGTGACGTCCTCATCTTCAACAATAACGCTGACCATATGGAAATTGTTGACATACTAGTTTTGCAATCCATGGAGTAGCTTATCCTTGAAGGATAGAAGTCCTTCAGATGGTTATCTTTCTTCTGTGGCAGGGGGTGCAGTTGCAGCTTGCGTTTGATCTTGCGGTTCTTTGTTTTTCACTTTGCGCGTTACGGGGTTGTCCTTATCGTGATTTGTGGGGAGTGATTCCATCATCTCCGTGTCCATTTTGGACCGGAGTAGGGAAGCAATAAATACAAATTCGGGATCACATGATAAGAGATTTTAGAGAGAGAATTTAGAGCACCAGTTGCCAATATAATTTATGTTTTTAAAACTGATTTATACCGGTTTCATCTTTTTAGAGCACTCTAAAATGAATTGGGTAAATCGTAGAACGACCTTAACGGGCCTGGAAAGCTAATGTAATCCCATTTATCAAGAATTTCATCACGTCCAATATAATTAAGTTAAGGCTCATGTTATTTTTATTGTTTTTTACAACAACCGCAAACTCCCACTAATTCCAAACATGTGTTCTTTTTAAGTATTTTTTTGTATGGGGATGTAAAAACGTGTTGAATATATAAAAAGGTATCTTGAGATTATATAATTTTTAATTACAAACTGTGAAAAAACCATGCCAAAAAGAGCCGATTTTCCTTCTCTAATTTTCTATCGATTTCGGCAAAATGCAGCCACCTCAGCGTCATAAAAGGCCTGTTTGGATTTGATTTAAATGTGTAGATTTGGGTTTTAGGAGTGCAAATTTTAACATTCGTAAAATCAAGCCAAATCAAACTGAGGAATAAGAGGTAAAAAAACGCTAACTAGAAGAAATATTACAATTTACCTTAGACGGTTGCATATGAAGTACTACAGTTGTTAGTTTCCATGTTACTTACTGATAACCGTTTTTCATACATGGAGTACTCTCTGTCTTCTGTTTGCCTGATCTGTTTCTCATAGTTAAAACATGTTTCCTCCCTTAATGCCCCTTTAAGAATCTGTCCATTTTATTGCATCAGAAAGTTGCAGGGCTGACCTCTTAATGTATACATTTCTGACGGGTTGGAAGACAGACAAAGATCATCAAACTACAGAGCAAGAAATGTACCAGAAAAAGTCTCTTCCAAGTACAATTCGTGCTCCATCAATTCGAATAAAAAATGCAAAAGGTGTATTTCATGATAAATTAGGTACTTCGAGCAGCGATGTTAATAGTCTCGAATGGCTTGACGTAATCGATCACTGTCCAGTGTATCATCCATCCAAGGAAGAATTTGAGGACCCTTTGAGATTTGTTCAGAAGATTGCTCCTGAAGCATCGAAATTCGGTAATAAAAAAGCTTGGAATGATTTCTTCTTTCATTGGTTCTACGCTAAAAATTTATTTCTGTAACCCTTTTTTTTTTTTTTTTTTAACCATTCCAGGGATTTGTAAGATTGTTTCTCCCCTGAGTTCTTCACCTACGCCTGCTGGTGTTGTGTTGATGACTGAGAAAAAAGGTTTCAAATTTTCAACTCAAGTTCAACCATTGCGCCTGGGGAAATGGAATAACGAGGATATGATCAGTTTCCTCAATAGAGGAAGGTAATGTGTTAGCCAGCTTGCTCTTTTGAAAACTGATTTTTCATTAGCATTGTCATCAATTGGTACTAAGATAATTGGAATGTTTGTTTAATCTGTTATTATACATGATGTAGAAATTATACTCTTCGCGAGTTTGAGGTTATGGCGAATAAGGAGGCAGCTCGTAGGTATGGTGTTTCTGGATGCTTGCCTCCAGCTTATGTGGAAAGGCAGTTTTGGAATGAGATGATAAATGGAAAGAAGGGAACTGTTGAGTACGGGGTCAATGTAGATGGTACCGCTTTCTCAAGTTCTTCTTCTGATTTGCTCTCAGGAAGTAATTCCAACTTGGAGGTAGAATTAAGTTTTATGATCTTATTATATTGCACTGATGAATTTTATTCTTGTAGCTTAGTGTTTATCATCTTTTCAGGCATTTCCTCACCACAAAAGTTCCGCCTTGCGTTTGGTGGAGAATGATATTCCGGTAATGATGTTACATATGTGAATCCTCACATCACATTTCAAGCATTACTAAGCACAATTGTGGTTTATCAGTTGTTCGGTGTACTTGAATGTAGGGAGTAACAGGACCTATGCTTTACATAGGAATGCTCTTCAGTATGTTTGCTTGGCATGTTGAGGATCATTATTTATACAGGTTTCCTATGAAACAGAAAAATCTTGATACCATTTTTTTCCAGTTAGTCCAATTGTTCAACTTTGTTTGCCTTCTTTTCTCAGTATTAATTATCATCACTGTGGCGCGTCTAAAACGTGGTATGGGGTTCCTGGTAGTGCAGCCCTTCAGTTTGAGAAGGTTGTCCAGCATTCTGTTTATGATCAAGAAATACTATCTGTGAAGAGTGAGGATGGTGCTTTCAATGTTCTTGCAAACAAAACGACAATGTTTCCGCCTAAAATTCTGCTTCGACACGGCGTCCCAGTTTACAAGGCTGTTCAAATGCCAGGGGAGTTTGTGATTACCTTTCCAAGAGCATATCATGCTGGATTCAGTCATGGTACGTGTGCAAACATTTTCTACTAAGGTTAGGAGTTTCTACAATACTTCACTCAGATGTTTCTTACTTCTGTTGCAGGCTTTAATTGTGGTGAGGCGGTAAATTTCGCAACTAATGATTGGTTCCCATTTGGAATTGAAGCTAGCCACCGATACGCGGTACTCACCAGAATGCCAATTATTCCCTATGAGGAGCTTCTCTGTAAAGAAGCAATGCAACTTTCACAGGCTTCAGACCATGGTACTCGATCACGATCAGATTTCTTAGCCTCTCTCCGTGGTTTGAAGATTTCATTCGTCTTCCTATTGAGGTTGCATCATTATGCTCGATGGAGGATAAACAAATTGAAACCATCTTTGAATCTACAAACAAGATCTGAGAGGACCATCATCTGCATTCTTTGCAGACGGGATTGTTACCTGGGATACTATACTTGTCAATGTTATACTGATCCCATATGTATCTTCCATGGTACACCTTCCAATACCTTTTAATTAGTGCAAAGATGAAAGTCAAAAGGCCTTATAATTCAGTTATTGCTTTTTTAACTCAAGAATGCCTTCAGCTTCTGATGTTCCTTTCCATATTAAAGTTTCTTGAATTAAGGTTATTGTACTGATGTTACTCTTCATTTTGTACATGTTCTTGTGCTGCAGAAAGCCTCATCTTTAACTGTCCATGTGGGAGCGATTGTCATCTTATAATTCGCGATGGCATACTTAAAATGGAGGCTTTGGCAAAAACGTTTGATCAGGGGAGAGAAATTAATCATGAAGTCGAGAACCAAATTAAACGATTCTCTTACTTGTGGAAGTCCGACAAGGTTCTCAAGGTTGAAGATGAATATGCTCCTTTTTCTGAGGTAAACATAGTCAAAAATCCGAAATTGCATAGTATGATAGAATATGGCAATCATATAAAATTGCTAGTCATCAGTGTTTGATCGCATAAAAGTCTACAGTTCAGCTCACTCAATGGCTAATTTGCATAAACAGATCAAATGTACCAAGAAGAGAAGACGTGAACCTGTTGAGAAATCTAAGATTAGACTGAGATTTCCCAGGAAAGCTCACAGATACAGAAGGCTAGCCAAGAATCTCGTCGTTCCTAAATGCTCTCATGGGAAGGTCGTGAAGCGTACTTTGAAATATAATGCATGAAACTGGGAGCTTAAAGGGACGAGAGTACCATCAGAAAGACCATCAGCAACTTGGAAGAGGTCAAGAATGTAGAAGGCGACAGCGAGCATACACTTCATTCTTGCCAGCAACAAAACATTCTTCAGTTCTCAGAGTTACTTTCTTACTGATTGTAAATCTAGAAATGTGGAAGGATTTAAATTTTCCTTTAACACAATCCTCGCTCTTTCACAACTACACTGAACTCTTAAGGTACAAAGGCTCTGTTTTAGCTGTCACTGAGGTTATAATTTATGCGCGCATTAATAGACAAATCACTAACAATTGCCCAGGCCACAATTTGTTTTCTCAAAAGGAAAAGCTCAAAAAGTGGGCAACTTGGCATAAAATTCATCATTCGCATCACGCACACGACATTCATACAACTACTACTTCATTGACATTTATTCAATAGAAAACTTATATATACAGCTCCAGCAGGACATTACATCTTTCGAAGAGGTTATTCAACTCAGTAGCTTTTTGATACAACTAATTGTCTGTTTTGTTTTTCATATTGCATCGAGTTTTACCATCTAATCTTATGACTAATACCTTCGTAGCCCTCCTCGTCAGGTCTAACCACTGAAATTCTATGCTCTCTACACTTGGTCTTAGTTTTTAGTAAGTTTAGTTATTGCTTCTTGGAGGAATCTGTTTCGTCCGTCTTTGCGAATCTTCCTCGGATCCTCGGTTGGCTATCGGCCAAAGCTTTCCTGCAAGCATACTGAAGCAAACAACATAACATGAGAATAAAATAACAGAATTTGGCAGAATAATTTGGGGGTGCTGGGGATATGAAATGTTGAACAACAGCACATATAGTCATTGATATAGCAATAAACAACTGGAACAGATATGAGTTTTCAGCTTTTTACAGTTTTTCAAATTTTTATGCAATGGCAAATGCCAAGGCCTAAATGGCCCAGACAGAAACCGACTTAATTACAAGCAGCAAAAGTGAACTACTTTTATATAACTCATTTTTTTTTTTCCCTTTTTCTAGAAACAGTAATTTTATGACACACCTTGATTTTTCTTCCAAAGTTCCTCTTGTTCTTCTTGTTCCTGTATCTGGAAAGCTTTTCTTTGCGAGCTTCAGATGAACAGCTGGTGACAATTTGTGGCTGTCCCACAGGAGAGTTGATCACATTTATGCTACCATTACCAAGACTCTGTCATAAAAACTCAGTATCAATCACCCAGCCCTATCCTGCTGAAAAGGTGAGAATCATCTAAACATTTCTCAGTTTGTAGACTTCACCATGGACGAAGCAAATATTCGGAAAATATAATTTACGAATCGGTTACTTTCTCAGGGGAGAATCTTAGTTAACTAATGAAATTTCATTAAGGGTCTGTTTCATGATGCGGGATAAAATTAGTGCAACTCTAGGAGGTCTAAGAAACTTGTGACAAAGATGAACCCACAAGGCCATCTGTTTTCATCCAAAATAATGTAAGCTACACAGGATCATATATCCAATTGGCAGGAAAAAAAGTTTAGGAACTAGACAATCTTCAACAACCTAACTAGACAACCAGATTCAAATTTCATTCATGCAACAGGCAACTAAAAGGCTGAAAGTAAAGAAACTCATCTGAAAGAAACAAAAGGAGGGAGAAAAAAAAAGAAGCAACTGGTAGGTTTGTGGTCACGGTTACTTTTATGACAATTCTTTATTTGTATCAGATGCCCTATTACCTTCATATGATCATCTGTTGCACTGCCAATTTTTCAAATTATTAAAACTGTGTTACCACATGTACTTTCTCCTAAAAATAACACAACTGCTCATTCATCTAAACCAGCTGGCAATCAAATTAAGAACAATGAAAGGAAGACAAATAAAACTTGACCTTGATATCTCCTTCACTGAAGGCTCTTCGCATGCCATAGACGGCCCCCAAGTCAAATCCAGGAAAATCAAGGAAATTTGGTCTTGTTGTAGCACTGTGAACCCATTCCATTGAGGTTAGGCACCCTGAACTAACACTTTTCTGGACAGGTCCTTGAGAAAGAGAATCGCCTTCTGCAATCAAATTCCCTTGAGGAACTTTGATATCCAGGACTGCAGAGAGGGTAGCTTCAGTTGCTTCTTTTGCCAGGATATCCTTCTTGCATTCATAGAAAACCTCACTGAGAAGTTGTCCATTATCAATTGACGGGTCAATATCTGACACCTTAAGGTCTTGTGAAGTAATGACATCTCCACCACAGGAAATCATTGACATTGCAGCTTCCATTGGATCCAGGCCTACAATCGGCTCTTCGATTATAGGCGCTGGAGCCTTAAAAAGATCTCCTTCCACCCCAAGGTCATATTCTGCTATAGAAGATGCCTGAATCAGGTTGTCCTGCATCAAAATTCAGAGTCAGTAAAAGCGGAGAGACACGTAAAAAACAGGAAGTACCAAGATATAAGGTAAAACCATCTGTAACGATTGTCTGGTTCTTCAACAGAATAAAAGGATTTGAATATAAAAGTTTTCTAACTACGTTATGCTTTCTATCAGTCTTCAATACAAGAAATTTTAATCAAGCAGCATTTCACAAACATGTTACCTTTCCAAATAAAGGTAAATGACACGGTGAATCACTTGAAGTTAAAAATTCAGTGGGCTACTAACACAGCAAAACTATGTCAGCATCTCATATTTTACCGGAAAATGAACCCAACAAGCAAATGCGAAAAAATTTAAAAAATAGTAAAAATTTCAAGTGCAAGAACTATTCTAGGAAATTTGTGTTTCTCTCATTCCCAAACTTCAGACCCAAAGCTAAATCAGAAGAAAGAAAAAAAGAAAAAAAGAAGGAATACAAACACTGATACTGTGAGGAGAGGCTAAACTTTTTTGCTTTTTCTCAACTTTAGTTGTAAATCAAACACTAGTGCGGTTTAAAAGTGAATTCTGAACAACAAGTTGACATCAGAATACTTAAAAATGGTGAAAAAGAGAGGTTGATGATAATTTATGTCCAATAATGTCCTTTACAAGGATGGAAAGAAAGCAAGTGGAACACGAAATTTCCGATTGAGATATCCTAATTCACTTACCTTTTCTTCCATAATACCCGATCCAGCACAGAAAAAAGGAGACTATGTGGCATCCCAAATAAGTATTCTTAGTCTTTGATGGCACAAAATCAAGTTACTAAAAATGTAAAACTAAAGCATATCCTTCATACACCCAAAACAATAAAAATAAGAAAAACTTGCTCCAATTTGTTTAGAAACCTGAACTGGGTTGTGCTCCTAAATTCTAAATTTATCGCAGACATTCTAATTGACTCACAATCCCTTCAACAAAATCAACAGGATTCCACATCTAACCGCCTAAGAAAGGTAATCAAGAAGATTGATGGAGGACTGACAAAAGTTCGGGAGAATTAAAGGGACTTTCAATTCAAGTCCGAATTTTCAATTCAAGTCCGAATAGACTAAACCCATTTCAGTTCTAGCAACACATAATCAAGTCAACAAACAAAATCACGTGGAAGGAAACAAAACCCAAAACTGAAATTTCTAAAAAGAAATTTCAAAAAGAATGTAAAGTGGAAATGGAAAATACCAGTAAAACACTGGGCCTCTGAGAAGAGCAAGAGAAGTCATCAATTTGTTGAGGGAAACTCTGGAAATAAGGGAGCATGAGCCCAGTTTCAGCATACATTCCTTGAAATCAGACCAACCAGCCTTTCAGTCAATTTGTCACTCCGGCACTTCAGGGTTTTGGGCAGCAAAAATAGAGTGATAGAAGAGAAGAAGTGAAATGGGGGAAGAAGAGGGCCTTCTTATAAGAGTCAATTAAATAATAAAATAATAAAGCAATTAGTATAATAGTAACAGTTCTTAAGAGCAAAGGTGAGCAGTAGTAGCCTCCTAGTAGCACAGTCTCTTCTCTCTGCTCCAAGACAGAACAGAAAGAAAACAGCCGTATGAAGACAGTGAAACCTTGAGAAAGCGAAGGGTTGAAAAATTATAAAAGAGTAAAAAGAATCTCTCCCTCTCTTTGAGTCCCTTTCTCCCTTCTTTGTTTAGGTGAGCGTATTTATTGTCTATTGGACACTGTTTATTGTTTTGGTTTTTGCCTTCTCTTCCACAACCTTTATATTTTCACATTAGTCATTTATTATTTTTCTTACAATTTTTTCACTATTGTACCATTTTTTCAATCAGTTTGGAATTTCACTTTTAGTACAATTTAAACAGAAAATAAAAATTTAAACTGGACAACCATTTAGAGACGGAAAGAATATAAAATAATGTCATGCGCCGCAAGTTCAATTTCTCCTTGTCAAATATGATTGACAAACATATAGAGGAATACCATGTAGTAATTTTAAGCTCTATTCATGGTTGTAAGTCATGGTCTGTTCCAATTGTATCCACTATCATTTGTTGCTTGTAAAGACACATAATACATCATTTCAAGTCTAAAACCACTTAAGTTACAGACATGCCCAGCATATCCTCCCTTTGTACTAAATAGAAAGTTTATATTAATAAAGCTAATATCTTATCTTACTATTTTTAAGAGCTTGATGATAAGATATTATAATACAGTGAGTGGTTGATTGTATGATTAGCTTAAAAACTATTACTCATTACTCAATAAAAACACTGCGAAAACTTTATGTAGATATGGCCCAATTTTAGAAAAACATTTTTAAAAAGGTGAAATAATTTAAATAATTCAAGCTCTGTCCATAAAACGCTTCACATTAAATTTGATATTTGTACTCTAATATATTATCTCCAATTCATATTACTTGTAGTTTAGGATGTGAAAATTCCCTCAATTTATCTATTGTTCTCTATTTTCAAAACATCATCAATAATTTTTTTTAAAGTTTATCTTGGTCTATCTCCAGTTTTGATTAATTATGTCCACAACAAATACTATCATTGAATTTTTTACATTTCCCTAGTGCAACTAAGTGACGAATAAAAATGTACATGTATATAGGGCTGCGCATCATTTCCTACCTCCTAAGTCCATTTAATAAACCAAATCCACCACCAATCTAACCTAAAACGAGATCTAGGGTTTCAGTTCAGAGTTTTCAAATTGATTTTTTTTTTGTCGATTGATTCGATCATTCGATTTATCCACCTCCACGATTCCTCCTCTCATTTCTCACCTCCACAAACCACAATCCTGATAATCGACCTCGACCAATCCTAACCAAAATCAGATGGTCCAGATCTAGGGTTTCACTGTTTCTAAGTTCTCATTTTCAAATTGGGGTTTTTTTTTTTTTTTTTTGCTGAGCTGCTCTGTGAATTCTGATTCGAAGTGACCTCACCCTCCACTTCCAGTTTTCCCAAATCGTCAAGGCTATAGGTAAAAAATGAAGAACGTTCTTTCAATTTTTTTTGAGTGTTTGAGTATTTTCCTTCGACTGTTAGTCTGTTAGGTTGTTACTGATTTACTGATAGTATTAGTTTTGGTTGTGTTTTCTTCAAATGCAGGAGCAGGAGTCAGGAGATTGGTTTGTGTTTGAGTGTTTCTGTTTTAAGGTACTTCTTTAAGTTCTTTTATTGTTTTATCTTTTATAAACAAATTTCTTTTATGAGCAAATCAATTGGTTAATTGGTTACTCAGGCCACTTATGATTTATGAATGATTGTTTATGTTTTATTCAGGATTGGGAATTGAAGCTTCAAACTGTTACTATCTTCAAGGTAATACTAATACCTTTTTTTCTGGTTATCTTTGTTGATCAAATTGATCTTTCTGAGTTTCTGTTGAGTGTTGACTGTTTATTAGCAAATATGCATGATACATACGTATACTGTAGTAGTGTTACTAGTGTAGTACAATGTGAGTGGTAACTGATGATTGCATGTGAGTGATTGTGTTTAGAGTTGTGAGTTGTGGTTGTTGATGTTTCTGATTGAGTCCACTGTATGTATCAAATACCATGTGTTGTTGGTTATCAAGTTATGTAGTCAGTACAATGTGAGTGATGACTGATTATTGAATGTTGTTTTGTTTTCTATAAGTGCGGGATTGACTTACTGAGAATTGAAGTTTGATATTGCTTCTGTATTTAAGGTAAGAACACGATAAAAAAGAACTGAATGTTGAGTATTGTTGATGTTTGTTTAGAATTTGAAGCCTGATATTGCTTCCGTTTTTATTTTCTTTTAATGCAGGCCTGAGAATTAAAGTGTAAGACTGTTAAGCTATCTTCAAGGTAAGCTTTTGTTGACAATTTCTGTATTTTTGGCTTCCTGTTTCAGTGATTTTAAACTTGAAAGTGTTGTTCAGTTGTGTGTTCTGCAATCTATTTTGAGGTTTCTGCAATCTGTTTTGAGGTTTCTGCAATCTATTTCAGTGTTTTGTGTCAAGTTTGGCTTGAGTTTACGTGTAACATGCCTGTTGTTACCTGCAGTAGGTAACTGAAATGCCTTTTTTCCATCCTTTTTTTCTGTGTAGATGTCAGAAGTAGAGTCTGATTTTGAGGAGCGTGAGGAGATTGAAGTCGAGAAAGGTTCTGGTTCACTACCTCCTCCTCTACTGGATTTGCACAATGATGATGGAATGATGATAGATTTAGAGATTGAGGATCGGTTGACTGAAGCGCAAGCTGCTATTGTTCCGAAGAAGCGCAGGGTAACTCGTAAACGCTCTCTGGTATGGATTCACTTCACAACTCATACAGATGTTGTTGGTGTGTTATGGGCTGATTGTAAATACTGTGGTAATTCTTATTTGGCTGATAGTAAAAAGCACGGTACAAGTAGTCTTCAAGCACATTTGCGTGTTTGTAAAAAGTACTTATCTTTGAATAATGATCCTGGTCAGAGTAAGTTAGTAATTGAAACTGGAGAGAGAAAACCTAGTGTAGGTACTCGGAGGTATAACGAAGAAGAAATAATTAGGGCAATGATTTGTATGATAATTGTTGATGAATTGCCGTATAGGTTTGTTGACAAGAAAGGATTTAGGTATTTTCTTATGAAGTTGCAGCCACAGTTTGTGCCTAAGGGTAGAAAATCAGTGGCTGATGAATGTTATAAACTGTATTTATTTGAGAGGGAAAAATTGAAAGTTGAGCTAAAAGAAAATGTTAGTAGAATCTGCTTCACAACCGATACTTGGACTTCTTTACAGCAAATTAATTATATGTGTTTGACTGGGTATTATGTGGATAATAATTGGACTTTGAAAAAGAAAATTTTAAGTTTCGTGCATATTACAAGTCATAAGGGTTTAGATGTCGGGACTGCAATTGAGAATTGTTTGATGGATTGGGAAATCCCTTTTGAAAAAGTGTTTTGCATAACTGTTGATAATGCTTCTTCTAATGATTCTGCCATGGAGTATTTGAAAGAGCAAGTTTCTCATCAAGAAAACTGTGTTGGGTGCTAAGTGGTTGCATGTTCGTTGTATGGCTCATGTGATGAATCTGGTTGTTAAAGATGGTTTGGCATATATAGGCAAGTCTGTTGATAGGATTTGGGCAGGAATAGTATATTAGGCAGTCTCCTAAAAGATTGACAAGTTTTAAAAAATGTGCTGAAATTGAGCAGTGTGGTAGCTCTAAGAATCTAGTATTGGATGTTTGTACTAGGTGGAATAGTACATACTTAATGCTAGAAACTGCTCAAGTGTATGAAAGAGCTTTTAGGAGATCCCGAAGTGCCAAATTCTGGGCCTGGACTGCCTACTTCAATAGATTGGGTAGAAGCTTGGAGGATTGCTGGTATTCTTCAGCATTTTTACAAGATAACCTTGAAAGTTTCTCGTACAAAATCTGTCTCTTTGGATGCTTTCTTCATTGATCTTCTTTGCATTGATATGTTGTTGAAGAAAATCATTAATGAAACTGATGATAATGGTCAAAAAATGATGGTTGAAAAGATGAAGGATACGTTTGATAAATACTATGGTCATTGCATCGATCAGTCTTGCTGTGATGATGGTATGTGTTTTTGATCCAAGGAATAAGTTGAAATACATTAAAGTTGTATTTCAACAGGCCTATGGGTTAGTGGATGGAAAAAATAAATATGATTTTGTTAAAATCGCCATTTATGAGTTGTTTGCGGATTATATTAGAATCCATGCCCCTAAACCTAGTTCTAGTAGTACGCCTTCCAATTCTGATTCCAGTTCATCTCAATCCACTTTATTGGGGAAACGACCTTCCCCGATTGATATCATGCCTTCAAAGCTGCTTAGAGATCAGTTTAGGATGGAGTTGGCGAAGAAGAAAGTTGAAGAAGCTGGTGGGGCTTTAAACAGAAATGAAAAATCAGAATTGGACAAGTATTTGAACGAGGATGATGAACCAGATTGTCTAGATTTTGATCTGTTGAACTGGTGGAAGGTGAACAGCCCAAGGTTTCCTATCCTTTCTCTGATGGTTCGTGATCTTTTTGCCATTCTGGTCTCAACTGTGGCTTCAAAATCATGTTTTAGCACTAGTGGCAGAGTGTTGGATGCATTTAGGAGTTCTTTAACTCCGAAGACTGCTCAGTGCTTGATTTGCACTCAGGATTGGCTTCGGGGGGAAGTTGAAGAAGAAGGTGTTGAAGAGAGTTGGGAAGACCTCATTCACATGGAAGAAGGTTACATTTGTTACAGTTTCAGTTGTTTATTTACACTTTTAAAGTTTCAGCTTGCAAGTTTTAACTTGATTGTGTGTTTCTTGTTTTTCATTTTTGAAAAGGGAACAAAAGCGTGGTGAATTAGGGTTTGCGGTTCTTGTGATCTTTGCTAAAAGGTATATTTTCTTTCGACTTTCATGATATTATTGTTTTTTCATGGCGATTACAACTGAAACTTGATTGCATGAGTTGGTTTATTTCGATTTTCGACTTGAATGTAAAATTTCAGCTTGTCATCTGTTGAATTGTTAAGTGTTGAAGCTCGAAATGAAGCCAATGTATCTTGTCGAATTGGACAAGTTGAATACCGAATATTGAGGAGTGAAGACGATGTCCAAGACCGAATCAAGTTCTCAATTTCCTACTTTTTCAATTTTCAGTTTTGCTGTTGATGTTGAAACAGAACCATTTCTTTTCTCAGTTTCTGAAACTTGGAAATTTGTTAACTTTGTTATCATGTA